AGTGATTGGGGCCGGAGGGCTGACTGGGGAAAACTAGACCGTACTTCGATGTATCCCTACAGCTTGGAAATTTTCTTAAAAATTTGTTGTATATGTGTATAAAATTTAGTCATTAAAAGGTGGTTTCCCTAAAAATTTTTCCCCTTTTAGTTTTGTGATAGGTGCCCCCTTTATCATTAGTTAAGGGGGACATCGTATCTGTTCCCAAAAATGAATGAAGTGGTTTTGTCAATGTTTAGTGAAAGTTTTTTAGTCCTCATCCAGGTAGATATTTTCTTTTTAATTTTGGTTTTACAGTATTGGGTGGGGAGGGGCTGGGGTGAAAAAAAAGACTATGTAGTGTCATCTGCAAATAGTGTGGGTTTGAGAAAATTTGCGAACTTTTGGGAAAGGTCATTTTTTATAGGAAAAAGAGAAGGGGCCAAGGACACTTCCCTGGGGAACCATGTAATTGGTTGCGCAGAAGATTTGCCCCCATTTGGTACCTATTGGCTTCTTTTGTGAGGTATGACTTGAGGTAATGGGGGGATGCCCTCTTTTACCATATGTGCAATTTTACGTGGAGCAAGTCAGGGTCAACTGTACAAAAGTTTTATAAGTAAATGAAACCCCCGTGGGCTTCTTTTTTCTCTATTGCAGTGTATATATGTTTAGCATGTGTATAATAGTCATGTATTTTATTAGGCCTAAACCCCAAATTGGGGCAGGGTTGAGATGTTTTGGGAGATAAGGAGGAGTAGATTCTTTTATAAAATTGTTTTTCAAAGTTTTTTTGAAGAGGGGTAATTTGGGATTTTGGGCCTATAGTTTTCAACTTTTTTTTGGGTTCCCCCTCCTTTGGGGACGGGGTGCCCCTTGCTATTTTGAGTACTGTGGGGAAGGTGGGGATTCATGGGATTTGTTAAAGAGTGTTGCAAGATTTTGGGAAGCATTTTGACACTTTTTTTTTTTTAAAAAGGGGGGTAAGGTACTTAAAATTTCCCGCCTTGTTTTTTAGTGCATTGATAAAAGGGAGACTTGTATGGTTGGGCGGAGCTAGGAACAGTGTTTCGGGTAGTTTCCGGTGAGGGAGTTATTTGGTGGGTATCTGAGCTTGGATTTTTTGGGCAAGGGTTTTGTCCTATAGTGGAGAAGAAAAACATTTAGTTTGTTTGCTGTTTTGTTGGTGGGGGGTTGGGGTTTATTGATTTGCTAATTTTATTTTGCTATTTCGTATATCTTTTTTTTTTTCCCCGAATTTTAGATAGTTTTTTCCCCGGCTTTTTTTTTTCACCTCGTAAGTTGGATAAAACTGTTCTCATAATACAATTTTTTTGCCCTTCTTATAGGGTGGTTAGGATTGACGAGTAACGTTTTGTTTGGGCTCTGTTATGTACCCATTTGTACTGTTTTTTATTTGGTGTTTTTTGTATTTATGGATTTTTGGAATGCTGGGTGTTAGCCAGGATGTTCGTTCTTTGCTGTCATCTTTTAGTTTTTTTGGGCAGTCTTGTTATAGAGGGATTTTGGGCTTTTTTAGAAAATTATTAATACATTCGTCAATACTGTAAATTTTTTAGCTCAGGTGCCAATCAATTTTGCTAAGCTGTTTCGAATTATTAAAGGCTGCCTCTTGTGAAGTCTGAAGGTACTTTTGTGTGTCTTGGGTGTTTACCAAAAGTTGTTATGAGGAAAATGGGTAGGCTGTGGTATTATCTGTAATTATGCCTGATTTTAAAGGGGGGTAGGTGTTGGTCCAGATGTGGTAATGGGAAACACTATCTTGTAACTCTTGTAGGTTTGTTACTGTTGGTGAAATACGTACTCATTGTGTTTGTGAATTCAGTAACGTGTGGGTCCTGGGTTTTAGGAGATTTATATTTAAGTCCCTGAGAGTATAAGTGATCTTTTTTCATCGGTATCAGTTATCAACTTCCTAATTTTGACTAAATTGGGAATGTTTGATGTGGAACTCTGTAGATGTTTATCAAAGTAAGGGTTTTTGTAGGGATTTGGGTTTGAAAATTTTGCATTATATATTCCCCATGTTCATCCCTTTTGAAGTATTAGTGATACATTCTAGTTGGGGCTGAGTGTAATGGCTGTGCCACCCCCTTGTTGGGTTGGGGCCCACAGTTGTGTATGGCTGTGTAACCAGGAATGGCATGACTCTTATATCAGCTTTAGCCCGGGTTTTAGTTTGTGTAATGGGACATTTGGGATGTAAGGAATTAGTAATGCTAGAGGTCTCGTAAAGCTTGCTTTAAAGATTGATATTTGTTAAAGATAGTTATGTTGTTGTTGGCATAGAAGTGCCTTTTATTGTTCTCGTGTATAATTACAGTAACGTTTGATTCATTTAAGTCATTTAAAAAAGAGGTTGGTATCAGCAATGCTTGTAATAAAGATTTGTAGTGAAACTTTGTTAAATTAATAAAAACAAAGTAAATAGTCTTTAGCTAAAAAAACACCCGAATTTTTTTAAAAAAATGTAAAATAATGAGTAAGGGACTAAAACAAATAAAGTGATGATTAAAAGTGCTTGGGGAAAATGATATGGGGAGTCATTTAAAGGGGAATTTTTTAAAGTTATAATTATAGTTTAAATTATAATAAAAAGGGATAATATAGGTTTGGGGAATTTAAAGAGCTTTGGAATATAAAAGCAAGATTGTGAGCTTATTCTACTTTAGCACCTGGAAAAGCACCTTGATTATTTTAAATTGTTAAAAAAGTATCAACAAAATTTTAAAAGAAAACACAACAATCCTTTTGAATTATACAGCTATACTAAATAAAACTACAAAAATTTATGACGTAACAAGAATATATTAGAAATATACAAGAATACATAAGGGAAAATACAACAATACAATATAGGCTCAACAGCAAGGGATAGTGAGCCAAAGTTCTTCTCTGGGAGAGTTTTTGTTTACATTATCACTTGCTATATTTTCCTAGAAGCAGAAGAAAGGGTGATCAAGGTGACTTTTTTTGGGTCAACTTTTTTTTTATCAATTTGGGGACTCTGTATCAGCAGACGTGATAGTGAACTCTAGGGTGTTTGGGGTCGTTTATTTTAAAGCAAATAGTGAAGCCAAAGGTGGAATTTGTAGTGCGTTGTGAATAGGAAAGATTTTTTTAATTAGAAAAAATTATGGGTTTTTGATGTTAATGAATTTTTTTCGTTGTTTAGGAGTTTAATTTGAAGCATTCCCCTATTAACTGAATTCTGAACATGAATTTTTACGTAGGAGTTAGTTAATAGGTTTTATTTGCAGATGACGCTACTTATGTCTTCTCTCGCCCAAACCCAACTATACTAACAGATAATCTAAATTACGAACTACTAAAAATATCTATTTGGATGGCTACCAACACACTTAATCTCAATATAGACATAACCTACTTCATGCTTTTTGGAAACAGAGCTTCAAATATACAGCTAAACATATTGATAAATGGTTTACCTATTTCGAGACAGGCAGAGGACAAATTTCTAGGTCTCCACCTTGACTCCAGTCTCAAATTCCAGACCCACATACAGCAAATATCCAAGAAAATGTCCAAAACAGTAGGCATCCTTTCAGAGATGCGGTACTGTGTACCCCAAACTGCACCTCTTGCTCTTTACCACTCTCTCATTTACCCTTACCTCACCTGTGGTATTTATACATGGGGCTCAACCACAACAAATCACCTTAAACCTTTAATAACCCAACAAAAAGCTACAGTGTGATTGATTACCAACTCCTGCACACTCCACCGCTTTTTATTATTGTTATTATCCTGTGAGAAGACACTTTAACCTAAGGATAAATTTGATGTACAACTTATAGATGTACAACTTAAACTGTGATCAATTTCTTTAGTATTAAGTAGTCTGTAAGCCATTAAATTAAGTCTCTCCATAATGCCTAAACATGAGAGTGGCTCTCTTTGCACTGCAACTCATTATTGTAAGTTCATAATCTCAATGTAATCTTGTGAGGAAATAAAATTTGATTTATTGATTGATCAACAAAATCTTATACCTAGGAGTGAGCACAGTAAGATGAGATTTGTTCGAATTTTTAACCCGGAGGGTTAGCTACCCAGGATAACCCAAGAAAGTCCGTGCGTCGTTGAGGACTGTCTGTCTTATTTCCATTGGGGTTCCCCAGGATGTAACACACACCAGTTGACTATCACCTGGGTACCTACTTAATTGCTAGGTGAACAGGGACAACAGGTGTAAGGAAACATGCCCGACGTTTCCACCCTTTCTGGAGATTAAACCACTGACACTGTGTGAAAGACGAGAACATTGCCAACTGAGCCACAGGACACCACAGTACAGCACAATACTAGCACTTCTGACTCTGGGTTGAACCCAGACCGAGGTGCTGTGTATGGCTAAATCTCCTCACCTGCTTCCCTTGATAACTACCAGAAGCAGTAAATAGATACCTAGAAGCTAATCGACGTGTGGGTTTCAGTGTCGGTGACATCTTAAAATACTGTATAACCAAGAGAGTTATCTAACAGTGTAATATAGGTTTTAGATTAGACTAGATTTGGTTAGTGCTTACTGATAGTTTAACCAAATTTATAAATGAGAAAACTCTTCGTTAGTAGAAAAAATTATAAACTCTCCCCATTGATTGATTACCTAGTATGGGTAAGGCCTCAAAAAACAGCATTCCATAAAAAAATATCTGAAAACTTAGTCAGTAAAGCTTATTTACCTCTAAGATCAAATTTAATACTACTTCAAAGATTAAAACTTACATGGGGCTGCTGTTATTGAGCTGAGAAAAGCAGTAAATTTATATGATGTACTGAATAGGTTTTAACCATACAGTATATTATTATTCCCAACGTAAGTTTGGTACTGTATTTACATGAAGTAAAATAAAATGATTTGATTTTATGTGATCCATATACAGTAATAACTAATGTTTCTAATATTGATAGAGTGAGTGATGCATGTTCAGAGCTATGCAAGTACAGCATACTGTTGTAAGTAAGAAATGAAGATTTTCATTTTCATTCTCATTTTTATATAGATTACTGAGATACTACTGCTTCTGTGAATCACTCCATGAGACGCCATGCACCAAAACACTATGTGAGATCTACCCAGCTTTTGTCACTTGTCACTGGGGTCTCTACATTAGCATAGTTGCACCATGCCAGCCCACCCGGTCTATGCTGTTGGGGGTCTGTATCCCAGGCGCCGTCAACAGGTCTTCAAAGACAATGGCAAAAACCTCATTTCAGGGGTAAGTTTCCTTTGGGATTACTTATGCAGACACATTGTTTGTTATTTTAACCCTAAATTTTTTTGTTAAAATGTTGAACTTAATACATGTATATATGTATTGCTTTGTATTTTTATTTAGTTACAGATTTCACTGTACCATAAAGACTGACTTAGTTTATCCTAAATTATGTATATAATACTGTATTATAAATTAGAATTGGTTGTTGCAATTTGATTTTATATTTGTCTAATTACTGTAGTATTTTGCTAAAGCATATTTAAAGAAAATATATTTTAAATACAGTACATATACTGTGCAAGCAGTAATAAACTTTAAAAAAAAAGAAAAGACAAATAAAGCATTACTGTATTCATTTAACATTTAAAGTTCATAATTTGGCTATAAATACTGGGTACACATAGTTTTTCATTTGTTTATGTATTAAAACTGAATTTGACCAGTGTTAAAGATTTTGAGGAACTGGGAGAAGGAAGGGGGCAAAACTTGTTCGGCAAGACAGTCATATATAAAGTCAAAGATTTTATCTATTAAGAAATTGACAGTAATTTTCAACTTATAATTACCTATATGGTGCCCAGTCATCAGTTTTTATTTATCATTTAATTTTTACATTGTAATTATATGTTACAGGTAGTGAGCATTGTAGTGATAGTGGTTGTGTGCGCTTGTATGAGTCAGCCACAATGGTTCTGGCTTGATGGTGGGGGTTGTACCACCCATACCATTGGTCTCTATCTCTTCTTCCATCCAGGACACTTTCAGCCGGTCGAGGGGAAGGATGTTGGCTCATCCATGTCACATGTCATCTATTACACAAATGGTGAAGGTAGGCTCTTGTGAGGCTGTTGATAAAAATAGTTTGTTTGATTCATTGCTCTAATAATAGAGCTACTAATACTCTATGCAGGAGGGCCCCAGTCTGCAAACATTAAGTTACACATGCACATCTACACTTTAAATGATCACTTTTTAGGAACCAATTAAAGTTCTTCATCTGATTGTAAGTCGAAACACTAGAAATGCACTTGTTAGTAAATGAACAACTTGCAACACCAAGAATGTATGTGACTCATTTGTACACTGAATTGCCAGAATGTAACTCATTTGTCAGGTGAAACACCAGGAATGTAACTCATTTGTAAATTGAAACAGTAGGAATGTAACTCGTTTGTAATATAAATACCTCCTTTATTTAAAAACATTGTTATCTCTGCTATGATCAAAGAAAAATCATATGTTACATGTTACAGAGTATAGCTAAAATTAGTACATAGTGGTAATGAACATATAATATGAAATACTTTCATATTTGCCTATTATAATACTTGTTATTGTATATGTATTCATGTAGATTCAGAATTTTCACATTAAAAACTGCAGAGGAAAAATATTTAACATAAATTTATGCATTATTTCCTCACCAGAGTTGAAGTTTTGTGTGACACCAGAAATTGTGGCACTGATGCGAATTGTCATAGGATTGATCTTTATGATGATTTGCTCTTCATTAGTGCAGATGTTGCTGGATATAAGTGGCCCCTCGGGTAGTATCATGAAATGTTTCAGAAAAAATGCTGTAGCGGGTATATTTTCTGGTAAGTTTTGTTACAGATTAAGAGTGAAATTAAGACACATGTGCAACATCTGGGTATCTTTATTGTAGACGTTTCGTCATCCAGTGGCTTTATCAATATGTAGGCGAAACGTCTACAATAAAGATACCCAGATGTTGCACATGTGTCTTAATTTCATCTTGTCGGTATTATATACCATTCTTACACAACAGATTAAGAGTACATTTATGAACTCGTTTCTGGAAATTAACCATCTGGACCATTCCCATTATTTTTTTTTTCTTAAGGGGTACTGTTCTTTTGCTTGATATGAAACTTATCCCTTATGATATTTCTGCTGTTCTTTATTATTCACTTGCAAGGCAGGGTGGCCCAAAAAAGAAAAACTTTCACCATCGTTCACTCCATCACTGTCTCGCCAGATGGGAAGTGCAGTGCAGGCACTGTACTTCCCATCTCCAGGACTCAAGTCCGGCCTGCCGGTTTCCCTGAATCCCTTCATAAATGTTACTTTGCTCACACTCCAACAGCACGTCAAGTATTAAAAACCATTTGTCTCCATTCACTCCTATCAAACACGCTCACGCATGCCCGCTGAAAGTCCAAGCCCCTCGCACACAAAACCTCCTTTACCCCCTCCCTCCAACCTTTCCTAGGCCAACCCCTACCCCGCCTTCCTTTCACTACAGACTGATACACTCTTGAAGTCATTCTGTTTCGCTCCATTCTCTCTACATGTCCGAACCACCTCAACAACCCTTCCTCAGCCCTGTGGACAACAGTTTTGGCAATCCCACACCTCCTCCTAACTTCCAAACTACGAATTCTCTGCATTATATTCACACCACACATTGCCCTCAGACATGACATCTCCACTGCCTCCAGCCTCCTCCTCGCTGCAACATTCATCACCCATGCTTCACACCCATATAAGAGCGTTGGTAAAACTATACTCTCATACATCTCCTCTTTTCCTCCAAGGACAAAGTTCTTTGTCTTCACAGGCTCCTCAGTGCACCGCTCACCCTTTTCCCTTCATCAGTTCTATGATTCACCTCATCTTTCATAGACCCATCCACTGACACGTCCACTCCCAAATATCTGAATACATTCACCTCTTCCATACTCTCTTCCTCCAATCTGATATCCAATCTTTCATTGCCTAATCTTTTTGTTATCCTCATAACCTTACTCTTTCCTGTATTCACTTTTAATTTTCTTCTTTTACATACCCTACCAAATTCATCCACCAACTTCTGCAGATGTTATGGGAATGTTATTAAATTATTGTTGTAAATTTTCATCAATGTAGTTAAAAGGGTCTGCTCTGTAGGGTCAGCGGTTTTAGCAGCTGGATGAAGCAAAAATGAGACTGCCCATCCTGCAATGATGTAGTTTGGGTGCATTTACAAACAATGTACTGTTTATATTTCATCCTACTAGGTGTCACCTTTATTGACACCATGCTAACGAAAGGTTCTTACCGTGGATTTGGGACCACCCTCTATTGTTTTTTTTTTTTTTTTTTAATAGTCGGCCGTCTCCCATCGAGGCAGGGTGACCCAAAAAGAAAGAAAATCCCCAAAAAGAAAATACTTTCATCATCATTCAACTCTTTCACCTCACTCACACATAATCACTGTTTTTGCAGAGGTACTCAGAACACGACAGCTTAGAAGCATATACGTATAAAGATACACAACATATCCCTCCAAACCGTCAATATCCAGAACCCCTCATTTAGAGTGCAGGCATTGTCCTTCCCATTTCCAGGACTCAAGTCCGGCTATATAAAAATAACCAGCTTCCCTGAATCCCTTCACTAAATATTACCCTGCTTACACTCCAACAGATCGTCAGGTCCCAAATACCATTAGTCTCCATTCACTCCTATCGAACACGCTCACGCACGCCTGCTGGAAGTCCAAGTCCCTCGCCCACAAAACCTCCCTTACCCCTTCCTTCCAACCTTTTCGAGGATGACCTGTACCCTGCCTTCCTTCCCCTACAGATTTAAATGCTCTCCATGTCATTCTACTTTGATCCATTCTCTCTAAATGACCAAACCACCTCAACAACCCCTCTTCAGCCTTCTGACTAATACTTTTATTAACTCCACGCCTTCTAATTTCCACACTCCGAATTTTCTGCATAATATTTACACCACACATTGCCCTTAGACAGGACATCTCTACTGCCTCCAACTGCCTCCTCGCTGCTGCATTCACAACCCAAGCTTCACACCCATATAAGTGTTGGTACTACTATACTTTCATACATTCCCTTCTTTGCCTCCATAGATAATGTTTTTTGTCTCCACATATACCTCAATGCACCACTCACCTTTTTTCCCTCATCAATTCTATGATTAACCTCATCCTTCATAAATCCATCCGCCGACACGTCAACTCCCAAGTACACTATCTGAAAACATTCACTTCTTCCATACTCCTCCTCCCCAATTTGATATCCAATTTTTTTTATCTAAATCATTTGATACCCTCATCACCTTACTCTTTTCTATGTTCACTTTCAACTTTCTACCTTTACACACACTCCCAAACTCGTCCACTAAACTTGGCAATTTTTCTTTAGAATCTCCCATAAGCACAGTATCATCAGCAAAAAGCAGCTGTGTCAATTCCCATTTTGTATTTGATTCCCCATAATTTAATCCCACCCCTCTCCTGAACATCCTAGCATTTACTTCGTTTACAACCCCATCTATAAATATATTAAACAACCATGGTGACATTACACATCCCTGTCTAAGACCTACTTTTACCGGGAAGTAGTCTCCCTCTCTTCTACACACCCTAACCTGAGCCTCACTATCCTCATAAAAACTCTTTACAGCATTTAGTAACTTACCACCTATTCCATATACTTGCAACATCTGCCACATTGCTCCCCTATCCACTCTATCATATGCCTTTTCTAAATCCATAAATGCAATAAAAACTTCCTTACCTTTATCTAAATACTGTTCACATATATGCTTCAATGTAAACACTTGATCTACACATCCCCTACCTACTCTAAAACCTCCTTGCTCATCTGCAATCCTACATTCTGTCTTACCTCTAATTCTTTCAATTATAACCCTACCATACACTTTTCCTGGTATACTCAGTAAACTTATTCCTCTATAATTTTTACAATCTCTTTTGTCCCCCTTCCCTTTATATAAAGGGACTATACATGCTCTCTGCCAATCTCTAGGTACCTTCCCCTCTTTCATACATTTATTAACCCTTTCAGGGTCCAAGGCCCAAATCTGGAGTCACGCACCAGTGTCCAAGAATTTTCAAAAAAAAATTTGTTATTTTTTCTTATGAAATCGTAGAGAATCTTTTTGTGAAGGTAATAAAACAAAAAGTACGAAATTTGGTGGAAAATTGACGAAATTATGCTCTCGCGAATTTTGATGTGTCAGCGATATTTACGAATCGGCGATTTTGCCGACTTTGACTCCCATTTTAGGCCAATTACATTATTCCAATCAACCAAATTCTTAGCTATTTCACTAGTATTACTTCTATTCTATCGATTGAGCACAAGAAATCGCGAAGTCAACTGTTTCAACTACAAAATAAAGTGATCGGAAATTGTTAATTTGGCCAATTTAACACAAAGTTCAAAATGTTCCAAATTGAAAATGGGGTCCAGAATGAACAATGTAGGCATTCCTGGCACTAAACTAACATTTCCTCTGTTCATTAGTTATGTTTTGAGGCTTTACAAATAAATTCCATTTTTATTTTTTTATTCACATAATGAATTTTTATTCACACCAAAAAATAGAAGATTTTTCTCTTATGCAATACTGTAATAATTGTATAAATATCATCACCATATTTGTGAATGTATATTAGACCCACCAGCTGACGTGTATTAGACGTGTGAGGTCGTTTGTTTACTCTTGAATATCGGCAAAAATTTAACATTTCCGCTACTTTAAGCTCAGTTTCAAGCCATTTCCAATGCTAAAACCAATCAAAATCATCTCTATTTCTGTAATATGTCTTCCATTCTATCAAATGAGACCAAGAAATCGCAAATACACCTATAAAAAACATACGAAAAAACACTGCAAAGTTGCTGTTTTAATCGAAAAATCACGATTTCATTTTTTTTCTCTCATTATACACATTATACACAGGTAGATGGGATACAAGGAGAATAGAAGCATCAGGGAAGAGAGAGGTGAAGGTTTATAAACTAAAAGAGGAGGCAGTTAGGGTAAGATATAAACAGCTATTGGAGGATAGATGGGCTAATGAGAGCATAGGCAATGGGGTCGAAGAGGTATGGGGTAGGTTTAAAAAATGTAGTGTTAGAGTGTTCAGCAGAAGTTTGTGGTTACAGGAAAGTGGGTGCAGGAGGGAAGAGGAGCGATTGGTGGAATGATGATGTAAAGAGAGTAGTAAGGGAGAAAAAGTTAGCATATGAGAAGTTTTTACAAAGTAGAAGTGATGCAAGGAGGGAAGAGTATATGGAGAAAAAGAGAGAGGTTAAGAGAGTGGTGAAGCAATGTAAAAAGAGAGCAAATGAGAGAGTGGGTGAGATGTTATCAACAAATTTTGTTGAAAATAAGAAAAAGTTTTGGAGTGAGATTAACAAGTTAAGAAAGCCTAGAGAACAAATTGATTTGTCAGTTAAAAATAGGAGAGGAGAGTTATTAAATGGAGAGTTAGAGGTATTGGGAAGATGGAAGGAATATTTTGAGGAATTGTTAAATGTTGATGAAGATAGGGAAGCTGTGATTTCGTGTATAGGGCAAGGAGGAATAACATCTTGTAGGAGTGAGGAAGAGCCAGTTGTGAGTGTGGGGAAGTTCGTGAGGCAGTAGGTAAAATGAAAGGGGTAAGGCAGCCGGATTGATGGGATAAAGATAGAAATGTTAAAAGCAGGTGGGGATATAGTTTTGGAGTGGTTGTGTGCAATTATTTAATAAATGTATGGAAGAGGGTAAGGTACCTAGGGATTGGCAGAGAGCATGCATAGTTCCTTTGTATAAAGGCAAAGGGGATAAAAGAGAGTGCAAAAATTATAGGGGGATAAGTCTGTTGAGTGTACTGGTAAAGTGTATGGTAGAGTTATAATTGAAAGAATTAAGAGTAAGACGGAGAATAGGATAGCAGATGAACAAGGAGGCTTTAGGAAAGGTAGGGGGTGTGTGGACCAGGTGTTTACAGTGAAACATATAAGTGAACAGTATTTAGATAAGGCTAAAGAGGTCTTTGTGGCATTTATGGATTTGGAAAAGGCGTATGACAGGGTGGATAGGGGGGCAATGTGGCAGATGTTGCAAGTGTATGGTGTAGGAGGTAGGTTACTGAAAGCAGTGAAGAGTTTTTACGAGGATAGTGAGGCTCAAGTTAGAGTATGTAGGAAAGAGGGAAATTTTTTCCCAGTAAAAGTAGGCCTTAGACAAGGATGTGTGATGTCACCGTGGTTGTTTAATATATTTATAGATGGGGTTGTAAGAGAAGTAAATGCGAGGGTCTTGGCAAGAGGCGTGGAGTTAAAAGATAAAGAATCACACACAAAGTGGGAGTTGTCACAGCTGCTCTTTGCTGATGACACTGTGCTCTTGGGAGATTCTGAAGAGAAGTTGCAGAGATTGGTGGATGAATTTGGTAGGGTGTGCAAAAGAAGAAAATTAAAGGTGAATACAGGAAAGAGTAAGGTTATGAGGATAACAAAAAGATTAGGTGATGAAAGATTGAATATCAGATTGGAGGGAGAGAGTATGGAGGAGGTGAACGTATTCAGATATTTGGGAGTGGACGTGTCAGCGGATGGGTCTATGAAAGATGAGGTGAATCATAGAATTGATGAGGGAAAAAGAGTGAGTGGTGCACTTAGGAGTCTGTGGAGACAAAGAACTTTGTCCTTGGAGGCAAAGAGGGGAATGTATGAGAGTATAGTTTTACCAACGCTCTTATATGGGTGTGAAGCGTGGGTGATGAATGTTGCAGCGAGGAGAAGGCTGGAGGCAGTGGAGATGTCATGTCTGAGGGCAATGTGTGGTGTGAATATAATGCAGAGAATTCGTAGTTTGGAAGTTAGGAGGAGGTGCGGGATTACCAAAACTGTTGTCCAGAGGGCTGAGGAAGGGTTGTTGAGGTGGTTCGGACATGTAGAGAGAATGGAGCGAAACAGAATGACTTCAAGAGTGTATCAGTCTGTAGTGGAAGGAAGGCGGGGTAGGGGTCGGCCTAGGAAGGGTTGGAGGGAGGGGGTAAAGGAGGTTTTGTGTGCGAGGGGCTTGGACTTCCAGCAGGCATGCGTGAGCGTGTTTGATAGGAGTGAATGGAGACAAATGGTTTTTAATACTTGACGTGCTGTTGGAGTGTGAGCAAAGTAACATTTATGAAGGGATTCAGGGAAACCGGCAGGCCGGACTTGAGTTCTGGAGATGGGAAGTACAGTGCCTGCACTCTGAAGGAGGGGTGTTAATGTTGCAGTTTTAAAAACTGTAGTGTAAAGCACCCTTCTGGCAAGACAGTGATGGAGTGAATGATGGTGAAAGTTTTTCTTTTTCGGGCCACCCTGCCTTGGTGGGAATCGGCCGGTGTGATAATAAAAAAAAAAATATACACAGTGTGCTGCAGGATCTGTTTTATGTGGTGCACACATACCACATAGATGTATTCTCTCATATCTAGGCCCAAATGTACCACTCACAGTTTATCAGAGTGAGCTGAGCTCATGGCGTAGATCTACGGTTTGGACCCTGAACGTAAAGCCGTAGATCTACGGGACGGACCCTGAAAGGGTTAAACAAAAATACCAACCACTCCAACACTATATCCCCCCCATTTCTTTGTATCAAACCCAATTTCTTTACATTTTCCAGGCACTGCATGACCCTTTTTGGTTTAGCACTTTCCTATGACTATAGTATTGTAATAAGTTTCAGTCAAGTAATAAATATATCGTGGAGTGATACACAAATAACCCGCACATAGAAGAGAGGAGCTTATGACGACATTTCAGTCCGACTTGGACCATTTACAAAATGTGACTTTGTAAATGGTCCAAATCGGACCGAAACGTCGTTGTAAGCTCCTCTCTTCTATGTGCGGGTTATTTGTGTATCGTTCCAGTCACGGTATTGTGCCTTTTTTTTTCTTTTTTTTTTTTTTTCATGGAGTGGTAATATGTTGTGTATAATTTTTATTACATGGTTTGGGATATAGATAGTAGGTATAATGATACCTACTGCAGGTTAAGCCTCTGGCTTGATAAAGCTCAGCCCAGCATGAAATGTCAGCTAATATAAAGGCTTGCCCTGCATTACATGTCTGTGTTGAAGATTGGCATAGCCGACTTTGAGAAAAAAGGAGACCTTTATTTGTACATTTCAACTACATGAGGCTTTATTAAGTACTTGATGAAGGTGAAACTTTACGTGTCTCTACTCGCTTGTTGCCCCAGTTATATAATTGTTGGCACTTTATTACAGTGTTGGTTTGTGTTGTGTGTGTTGGAATGTGCTACTACATCACTACCTTGATTGAGACTCAGCAGGAAGCCACTAAGCCTGTCATTGGTCCCTTGGCTGTGGCTCGTGTACAGGTCAAGCTGGATGTTGGTTTTTATCTTCTTATATTTGCAGGTATAGCATGCATGATATATTTTGGCCCTTTTTTTGGAAATTCCTGATTTACAGATTTAACATTATTAGTGGACTGATCTGCAACACAGTGAAGTACTATTTATGTATTCCAGTACTGAACCTGTGCATCAGTAGATATGTTCAGATGGAGTATGTTGAAAATGTGAATACTGTATGCACTAGACTTGTGACCTGATTTCACTGAGAGTAGGGTGTTTAAAAATGAGAATGCCTTCAGGACAAAGTATCTTGATCTTAGGAATTGGAGCTATTCTCCTCTTCCTTAAATCTAACTTCATTATCTTCCATTCCATAGGCATTTTATGTCCTTAATGGGTTTAGAGCTTAACCCTTTCGTGGCCATCATGTAGAACTTGTCATTGAGGCCAGGGTACCTCACCGTAGTTTTGCATCATGAGTTCAGCCTACTTGAATAAGCTTTGAGTGGTAAATTTTGGCCTAGATATGAAAGAATGGGTCTGTATGGTAAGTGTGCACAACATACAAAAAATCCTACCCTACACAGTGTGTGATGGGAAAAGCAAAACTCAGATTGTGTGTGTGATTTCAAATAGTGACTTTGAGGTGTTTTCTTGGGTAGTTTTTATGGTTTTATTGGCTGTTTCTTGGTATGATTTGATACATTGGAAAACATGCTTCTGAAACAGAGATGATTTTGGTTGGTTTCTTGTCCACAAGTAGCTTGAAGTTGAGCTCAAAGTAGTGGAAATGTTCAATTTTTTCCAGTTTTTCCAAGGACAGGTAAAGCACCCCCACACCCCCAATCTGTTTTATTGGTTTTTCATAGGTCCAATTTGATTATTGGAACATCATAAATAAGTAAATCTATTTTTGTGTGATTATAAATTAAAAATGGAAGGCAAGTGTAATATAGGAGAGGTTTGAGGATGTGATTAATGAACAGAGGAAATGTTTTAGTGCCAGGAATGTCTACATTGTTTATTTTGAACTCTATTTTTAAATTGGTATTTTTTAATTTTGTGTAAAAATTAGCTAAATTACTGACATCTGTGCACTTTTTAAAGCAGTTGAGTGGGCAATTTCTTGTGCTCATTCAATAAATTGGAAGGCATACTAGTGAAATAGCTAAGAATATGGTCAACTGGAACAGTGGAATTGGCATAAAATAGGACTCAAGGTTAGCAAAACTGCCGATGCATAAATTGCTCTAAGAACTCTTACTTTGTATTTTGTCAAAGTACAGTATGTGATACTGTGCCCTACTTTGTCCATAGTCTTAAATTTCTTATTTGCATGTCAGTTTACTTTCCCTTAAATACATTTTGCTCTTTATTCTTTATTCTCTTTGAAGTTTTCTCTACTTCTATAGCTTAGCTCACAATGAGGCAGATATGGGGGTTGTAGTTGTAGCATCATCCTTATTGGTAAATCCATGACAAGTGCAGCAAGGTTATGCCTCCAGGCTTGAGATGTGATTAATAAAACTTTCAGTGCCCATTTTTTTTTTGTTTGGCAATAACCTTAATCCTCGAAAAAATTACACGATTTATGTAAATTGACAAGGTGGTGTTCCTGCCTTCCATGGAAGTGCCTTGATGCTGGAGAGAGGCTCTTGTTCTATGAAGATGCTTTGATGCTGGAGAGGGGCTGTTGTTCCATGGACTATGACTTCCCCTGGACTGAAACTCTACATTGCCCAGATGCTATATAACCCCAACAGTCTAGAGCTTCCCTGTTAGTATAAAAGTAAAACTACAAATGCTCAATGGGCAGTGATACAATCTAGGTCAGGATAGTTAATGATGTATTGAAGGTAGTGAACACCTCTCTCAAGTTTCCTGATTAGACCATGGCTACCAATGCACTTAGTACTTGATCTCTCAAATCCGAACTTCAGAGTTGGTTCACTTAAGTAAACCTGTTCATAATGTGCATGCATTCAGCAATCTAACTTAAGCTCTCTCAGTATACAAAATGGTCATCATACTGTATTAAATTACTGTCTTGATCATTTTTTTTTTTTTAAATGGAGAGTATGAAGGTGTATATTCAGTATTTTTGCTTTTTAAATATTTGTTACCACTTTACGATGATCTTAATTAAATTTCCCTTAGAAAATTTGCTTTACTTTGGGTGAGATCATTCCAAAGCTTACAGATGTATTAATATCTAGTTGACCATTGAAACACTGTGGACTGATTATTTACATTATACTTTCTTTTATTGTTTGACTTCAGAATCTGGAGATAGAAGATTTATATATCTTTGTTTTTCATATATTGCAACTGCCTTAAACCATTACATTATCTGTCGTATAGTAGTGTTGACTTGAAATATATGCTTATTTTTTTTTTTGCTGGCTCAGTAAGTATTCCAGCACCATATTGTGTACCAAAGTATGTGGATTAAATTAGATTAGATTTATTATTTTGACAAATTACATGGTTGTACAGAGAAATATAATAGTTGGGTGTACATGCCACAAGCCCCTCTGTATGCTGAGCATTTCGGGCAAACTTGAAGATTAACTTAAGAATAGTAAGGCAATAATACATAGTTCATATGGTTATTAGATGAGTTAGTGAGTACAGGAGAATTTAATGTTATATCAGGTGATGTTACATGGTTTTGATAAGTTTAGTACAAACTTTTTACACTATTGAATTAGTTAATAAAGATTACAGTGTTACAATGTAACAATTTAAAACAATTTACAGTGTGATGTATTACAGTTTAGTACTGCTTAAAACAATGAAATTTGGTATTACAATGGAACAATTTACATTATGTTGTACTGTATTACAGTCTACTACTATTTAAAACAGCGAAAAGAACAGACGTACTAATTTCAAAGTAGTAAGTGGCTGAGCAATCATCAGCACAATATGAGTAGCTTTTGAGAAACTGGTAGTGGTTAGGTATGGTTTGTCTGGTTAATTTTGGGTGATGAGGTGATTTCTTATTTGGTCCTTAAGCTGATTTGCAGACAGGGGTCCTTTAGTTTGTTCTGGTAATGAATTCCAGATCTTTGGGCCTTTTACATACATAGCATTTTTGCATAGGGAGAGATGAACACGGGGAACATCGAAGAGTGATCTGTGTCTCGTATTATGGTTGTGTGTTCTGTTATAGTTATCAAGGAGGAGTTTGAGAGGAGGGTTTACATTATAGTGTTCTGTGTATGTAGTAGGCACAGTAATAAGTGTGGATGTTTTGTATATTTAGTAAGTTAAGACTCTTGAAAAGTGGTGGAGTGTGTTGTCTAATGCAGGAGTTAGTAATCAATCGCACTGCAGCTTTTTGCTGGGTTATTAAAGGCTTAAGGTGATTTGCTGTGGTTGATTCCCATGCACAAATACCATAGGTGAGGTAAGGGTAAGTGAGAGAGTGGTACAAAGCTAGAAGAGCTGATTGGGGTACATAATACCGTATCCTTGAAAGGATGCTTATTGTTTTGGAGACTTTTTTGGAAATTTGCTGTATGTGTGTTTGAAATTTGAGACTGCAGTCAAGGTGGAGACCTAGAAATTTGCCCTCTACCTGTCTCGAGATAGGTGAACCATTTATCAATATGTTTAACTGTACATTTGAAGCTCTTGTTTCCAAAAAGCATGAAGTAGGTTTTGTCAGTACTGAGAGTAAGTTTGTTGGTAATCATCCAAGTAAATATTTTTAGCAGTTCAGCATTTACTGTGTCTGTTAGTATGTTTTATTTTTTTTAACAAGTCGGCCGTCTCCCACCGAAGCAGGGTGACCCAAAAAGAAAGAAAATCCCCAAAAAGAAAATACTGTCATCATCATTCAACACTTTCATCTTACTCACACATAATCACTGTTTTTGCAGAGGTGCTCGGAATACAACAGTTAGTATGTGTGTGAATATAATTCATTAAAACCTGCATCATATCCAATTGTTGGAATGCTTTATTATAATTTGGATTAAACTGAAAAAATTCAAATGATTTCAGTTGGTGTTCAGTATATACTGAGAAGGCTATTATTTTATGAGAAGAAAAAAGATATTGAGCAGTTCTAATTATTTTGCTTTATATCTTTTAGGTGGTATGTCAGTTTTAGCTGTGGGTTGTAGTTGGCTTCGACCAGTGCACCTGTTCCAGGAGACAGATTCTGCTCCTCTGATGGAGGACTGGGGTGGCCTTGAAGGATTAGAAACCTTTTCAGTCCCACCTGGAAGTTCATTGGCTTCTCACATCCCATACTTAAGTGATCTGGAGCCTCCGCCACCAGTGGAAGGGCATCCACCCCCTCCATATACTCCATAACTGGCGTAGTGTGTACAGTATCCTATACTGAACAATTTGTTTATACTTTATTTATATTACTGAGGTATATTATAATATAGCAACATTTATTTGTCTAAGTGGAACTACTATATGATGCAGATAATGATAATACAAAATACTAAAGTGGGTCTGAATGACATACTGCTGACAGTATTGAAGAAAAGACACATTGCATAACAAACTTGGAGTGGAACTGTTTTGCTCTGTGTAGAGCTTTAACAAGTATCGTCCTGGTAAAGATCTAATGTAGTGTTCTAGTAAGAGCTTTTTCTGCAACTTGTAATTTTTTCAACAAACACTGATTGATACTATCTTTTCAATAAGTGTGTCAGGACTATAATGGTAATGGGCATGTGGATGCATACACATCATATGTTAGTATTACTTTATTTTATGCTAACATAAATGGTAAGCTGTTCATTTTTTTGTGCAGTGGCCAGAACCATACAATAATTAGGAGCTGGCATTTATGGGTCAATATGTCATTTTTGTAGATAGCAAAAAAAGAAAAGTCTGAATATAGTATTTGAAATACAGTGGTACCTCGGGATACGAATTTATTTTGTTCAAGAAGGCTGTTCAAGTGCCAATACTGAACGAATTTGTTCCCATAAGGAATAATGTAAAGTAGATTAATCCGTTCCAGACCCCCAAAAATACATATACAAAAGCGCTTACATAAATACACTTACACAATTGTTCGAGTTTTGAGCTGTTCGTATCCTGAGGTACCACTGTAGGTGCCTTTTTTACGAGAAGCCTTTGGGGATTTAGCAGTACTGTATTCTCGATAATTACATTCATGAGGAGAGTGCTACACCCATAAGGGTCATACAGTATGTTGGGAAGTGACAGTCATTCATGCTCGATTCAAGAAATTGGCACATTGGTCCAATTCCTTAGAGTAAAAGTCCCTCACCATCAGCATTAAGGAACTTCTTTTGAGGGGATTGCACTGAAATGTAAAGTAACATTGTCTCCCCAAAGAGGATCATACCCTGAACTATAGGGTTGCTAGGCCAGTATTTATACTAAGTTTATCAGTTATAACATTTTCTTTAGAACACAGAAGCTAGGTCTTATTGTTAAAATCGTAGGAAAACACTAAACCTGTAGGGTAGTAAGGAAGGTATCAGCTTGATTTGAGGAAGAGGGTGACTTCCATTACTCAGATAAAGATATTAGCACCAACATTGTCACTCCATTGAACAGAGGCTAAGTATGCCAATATGCTTGTTCCCCCCACCTATTACTGGTTTTGTTATAACCCAGGAAATGGGTTTAATCCCAAGATGTTTTATTATTTTTGTGTTTAAATAGAATTCCACTTTAATCTTTTTCTTTTATGCATTAACATACATTACATATATGAAAATTTTTTTAGGAGAAAGTGTTAAAAATAATTGTTAAAATTGAGTGTTATGTTAGTCTTTGCTTCCTTTTCTCAATAGATGTCATGAATATAACAAAGGAATGCATTCTATTTATTTTATATTTGGAAGCATGTAAGACCTTATTTTTGGTAACCACGTCTTTTAAAGCAAGGATTTATAATAGAAATTAATTCCCAAATATGCTATGGCTAGGTTCCTAAATAATTGCATGTTTTCATGGTAAGGTCTAAACCCAGGGCTGTGTGACTCTTTCGAGTTTAGCACTAAAAGTAATTTGATTGTTATTAAATATATAGGGGTCCTACATAACCTGGCAACTGGGAGGTAATCAGGTTTGACGCTAAACCTAGTTCTGATTCCTTGGATGAAGAGTTGCTCACCAGCATTTTTCTGAAGGCAGAAAATACCATAATACAGTATCCTCAGATTTTCTTATGCCTCAATTGTTCTATTTCTCTGCCTCTTCAGTTCATGACCTTAGAAACCATTTTCATAAATTTGGGTTTATGGGTTAATGAGCTACATTACAATGCTCTGTAAATCTTCACAAATGTAGATGTAAAAACTTTAATAAATAAATTATATATTAATAAAAAAATTATATATTTTTTAATGTTCTGGCTGTCTCCCTTTGAGGTCCTCTTCAAGAGGGGCTCCTTGATGTGGCAAAGAGGCTCTTTGTCTAAGGAATTAAACCCTTTGGTCTGCTTCCTCAGACAGAACCTAAGTACCCCCCAATCCTCCCTTCTCTATTCCATCCCCATCCTTTCTCCCCCCTTTCCTCCTCCCTCCCTTTTCCCCATCACGTATGTAGCCTCAGGTCCTCCCATCTGGCATTACGGTTTCTAGGTAGAGGGAAGTTTGCTGGGGTTCATCTCACTCCATGGGGTCCATCAGGGGTGGTGTAGTTTGCCATGGAATCTGAATTGTCTGGAGGTGCCCTGCTCCCTTCCCGGATCTCCGAGAAGTGGGCGGGGTGTCCTACAGATGATGGGTATATCTCCAAAGGCTGCCTGTCTGTTCTGGGAGGTGACATCATTGGCTTGGCATCCCTCGTTTAAAACGAGGGATGTCAAGCCAATGATGATCCTTTTCAAATCCCTTCTCTCTAGGCTGGAATACTGCTGTACATTAACATCTCCGTTCAAAGCAGGTGAAATTGCAGATCTAGAGAGTGTACAGAGAACCTTTACTGCACGTATAAGTTCTGTCAAGCACCTTAACTACTGGGAATGCTTGGAAGCACTTGACCTGTACTCGTTGGAATGCAGGAGAGAGAGATAACATAATCTACACTTGGAAAATCCTGGAAGGAATGGTCCCAAATCTGCACACAGAAATTACTCCCTACGAAAGTAAAAGACTGGGCAGCAAAATATCTCCAGTTAAAAGTAGGGGCACCACTGATACACTGAGAGGAAACACAATAAGTGTCCGGGGCCCAAGACTGTTCAACAGCCTCCCACCAAGCATTAGGGAAATTACCAATAAACCCCTGGCTGCCTTCAAGAGAGCTGGACAGATACCTAAAGTTAGTGTCGGATCAGCCGGGCAGTGGTTCATACGTTGGACTGCGTGCGGCCAGCAGTAACAGCCTGGTTGACCAGGCCCTGATTCATGGGGAGGCCTGGCCATGGAGGCATTGATCCCCGGAATAACTTCCAGGTAGACTCCAGGTAAGGGAGGGAGGGAATATGAAGGAAGTGAATGTATTCACGTATTTGGGAGTGGACTCCTCAGCAGATGGGTCTATGAAAGATGAGGTGAATCACTGAAGTGATGAAGGGAAAGAGGGGTCTGTAGAGACAAAGAATGTTATCCATGGAAACAAAGAGGGGAATGTACAAAAGTATAGTGGTATCAATGCTCTTATATGGGTGTGAAGCATGGGTGGTGAATGTTGCAACAAGAAAGCTGGAGGTAGTGGCATGTCTGAGGGCAAAGTGTGGTGTAAATATAATGCAGAGAATCTGTAACTTGAAGATCAGGTGGTGGTGTGGGGTTTCTTAAAGTATTATCCAGAGGGGTTGTTGAGGTAGTTCAGACTTTTAGAGAAGAGGGAACAAAGTAGAATGACTTGAAGGGCATATAAATCTGTAGTGGGAAGGAAGGCAGAGCAGGGGTTGTCCTAGGAAAGGAGTAAAGGTTTTGTGTGAGGGGCTTGGACTTCCTGCAAAGACGCATCAATAGTGGTGTCTCAATAACTTATTTTGAGTCAGGGGAGCTGTAAAGCTTTATTAGTGAAAATAATGTAGATGACTGAGATGACAGATTTAACATACCCCTGCTACTGAACTGCCAGACTTGACCTTAACCCTTTCAGGGTCGCCAGGCCCTCTCCGAGACTTGTTCTCAGGGTCGCCCAAATTTCAAAAAAAAAAAAAAAAAAATCTTTTCCCAATCATATTATTATTATAATCAAGGGGAAGCGCTAAACCCGATAGATTATACAGCACCTGGGGGGGGGATGTGGAAGGCATTCAGGCTTAATTTGGGGAACTGGAGCACAGATCCAATTCCCTAAATCAAGAGCCCCTCACCAACATCAAGGAACCTCCCTTGAGGGGTTCCCAATCATAATGACACCAAAAGTATGAAATTTGATGGAAAACTTAAGGAATTATGCTCTCGCGAAGTTAGCGGTCTCGACGATGTTTACGCATCGGCGATTTTGCCCACTTTGAGCTCTATTTTCGGCCAATTCCAGTGTACTAGTCGACAAAAATCATGACTATTTCGCTAGAACTCCATTTTTTCTATCGAATGAATACAAGAAACCACCCATTCGCTGATTTCAACTATCCTATAAAGTGGTCAGAATTCAGCAATTTTGCCAATTTCACACAAATTTCAAAAGATGCCAATTTCTGAATAGGGTTCAGAATAAACAAGAAAGACATTCCTGGCACTAAAATAAGCTCTCTGTTCGTTAGTCACATCCCCAGGCCCCTCTTATATTTCTTTGGCTTTCCACTTTGAATTTTTATTCTTACAAAAATAGAAGATTTAGTGTTATGCAGACTACTGCATTAGTGTAGAAATGGTATAAATAATATCAGCGCACTTGTGAAAGAATATTAGACTCACCAGTTGACGTGTATTGGACACTTGGCATGATTTGTTTACTTTTGAACTTTGGTAAAAATCTAACATTTCTGCTACTTTGAGCTCAATTTCAAGGTACTTTTCATTGTAAAACCAGTCAAAATCATCTCAATTTCTGTAACATGTCTTCCATTCTATAAAATGAGACCAGGAAAACTAGAATACAACCATAAATACCATACAAAAATGCAGTGCAAAGTCGCTGTTTTAACCCTTTCAGGGTCCATCCCGTAGATCTACGGCTTTATGTTCAGGGTCCAAACTGTAGATTTACGCCATGAGCTCAGCTCACTCTGATAAACTGTGAGTGGTAAATTTGGGCCTAGATATGAGAGAATACATCTATGTGGTATGTGTGCACCACATAAAACAAATCCTGCAGCACACTGTGTATGAGAGAAAAAAACGAGACCGTGATTTTCGATTAAACCAGCGACTTTGCAGTGTTTAGTTTTTTTTTTAATAGTTGTATTTGCGATTTCTCGGTCTCATTTGATAGAATTGAAGACATATTACAGAAATAGAGATGATTTTGATTGGTTTTAGCACTGGAAATGGCTTGAAACTGAGCTCAAATTAGTGGAAATGTTAAATTTTGCCGATGTTCAAGAGTAAACAAACGACCTCACACGTCTAATACACGCCAGCTGGTGGGTCTAATATACATTCACAAATGTGGTGATGATATTTATACATTACAATATTGCATAACAGTATATCTTCTATTTTTTAGTGTGAATAAAAATTCATTATGTGAATAAAAAATCAAAATGGAATTTATTTGTAAAGCCTCAAAACATAACTAATGAACAGAGGAAATGTTAGTTTAGTGCCAGGAATACCTACATTGTTTATTCTGGACCCTATTTTGAAATTGGAATATTTTGAACTTTGTGTTAAATTGGCCAAATTACCAATTTCCGATCACTTTATTTTGTAGTTGAAACAATTGACTTGGCGATTTCTTGTGCTCAATCGATAGAATAGAAGTAATACTAGTGAAATAGCTAAGAATTTGGTCGACTGTAATAATGTAATTGGCCTAAAATGGGAGTCAAAGTCGGCAAAATCGCCGATTCGTAAATATCGCTGACACATCAAAATTCGTAAGAGCATAATTTCGTCAATTTTCCATCAAATTTCGTACTTTTTGTTTTATTACCTTCACAAAAAGATTCTCTACCATTTCATAAGAAAAAATAATTTTTTTTTTTTAAATTCTTGGGCACTGGGGGCACCACTTCAGATTTTGGCCCTTTACCCTGAAAGAGTTAATTGAAAAACATGGTCAAAGTTTTTTTTTTTTTTCTCATTACGCACTGTGTGCTGCAGGATTTTTTTTATACTGCGCACACTGACAACATAGACCCATTCTTTCATATGTAGGCCTACCAGCTTTCTCTCACTAGATTTGAGGGCGCTAGAATTTAGGCGTACTAGTACGTCAAAAACCCTGGGGCGTAAGCCGTACTAGTACAGCCGAAACCCTGAAAGGGTTAATTAATTAGTTTCTTTTGAACACTGAGAACCACAAGTTGTCTCTTGGCATCATCAATTGTATTAAAAGTCACTGCTAATTGCACTTTACTTAAAATATTAATAAAGTCAAACAACATGCTTTAAATCCAGGTAAAATTTAGAGAATGTATGACGAGTGTGAGAGTAAGTACAAAGTGGCATGCGTCTAGGACAAACATCGGTGTTAGCAGACTTGGCCCGATACTTCAGAAGATAACTGGACACTGTCGCTAGGTAATGTGGAATTATTATTCTTCTTACAACAAACCGGCCATATCCCATCGAGGCAAGGTGACCCAAAAGAAAAAACAAAAGTATCTCCTTTTAAATTTAGTACCATATATAAAAGGGGTTAAAATGTGGATTTATGGACTATTATTTGTTTTGTCTGATAGAGCATTTGTCTGGCCAATGTTTTTGTCTGAAATTGCAGAAATCTGTTATTTAGGGGGTTTTCTGTATTGTTTAACAAGGCTCTATGAAACTATTTTGATTAATATTGTGGGTAGCATTTATTTCTCAAACACAATAAACAACTCCACCCCATCTTTTATTTAGGCAAGTTATGTCTGGTAAAAGTTCATTTGCATATAAAGCTTATACCTGCTATAAAACACAAGTTGCTACCATAACAAAGACAGCCTTCCATATCTGTTTGAATGTACAAAGCATATGTGCAACATAACAGCATTTAACAGTTATACACATGACCTTAACATTCCCTCATTCTGAAGGTATTTCACAGCATTTATGAAATAATTGTGTAGTTATATGAGCTTGATACAAGCAAATGTTTGATAAAACCAAGGACAGGATAGTAGAAATTCTGAAATGAGAATGATTTTGAGCCAATTGTGTGCAGCAGCAATGCTGTTAACTTATCTGTATAATTATTCAAATGTCATCTTTCTTTGCTCTTGATTCAAGGCAGGAAAGTGCTGATACAATAAATTCCAGGGGCAAAAATAAAATATCTTTAGTTAAACCTCTGTTGTGATGAAAAGATTGATGTATGAAATGGAGTTTTATGAAGCTGAAACTGTACAAAGTATATAGGGATTACCTTCACATGACTGAAGAGAGAGAACTAAATACAGTACTACTGTACAAGCATATCTATTTCTCTCTCTTCAGGTAGTGAAATACCATAATCTGGACCAAGTCCAGAGATCTTCAGTATCCATATGCTATCCTCATTTCTACAGCATTGTAAATACTATAAAATTTTGCACAAAGAAACTATCCTGTTTAAAGTGTATTAACAAATAATTGTGTTCGGTAAAATGGAGACCTAACATGTTAACTGTTGTCACTGGACAAAATTTTGAAGGCTATATACATCTTCATGGCCCCTTTCCTTATTTAGTTCCCATTATTATCCAGCTAATTAGTTTGGGTTTCAATACTACTTGTTTTTAGTTTACACTGATTGGTACTGAGGTTTCTGTATAATACTGGTGCCATGGAAACAAACTTTTGCATAAATTATAAATGATGATGCGATGGCCTAAATAAACGTTTAGTATGAACAACACAAGTTAAATAAAAATTAGAAATAAATGGCAGTTTATTTAACCTTGAAATAAATATCATGATAAAGCCCCCCTAAAGCCCTCTTCATATTTTCCTGAATATATCACATTTAACCTCAACGAAGTTAATACAGTTACTGACATAATAAAGGCCAAATCTTGCTCTAAAGGATTCACCACTACAAAAGGAACACCAGACAGCAAGTTTTGTGCACAGAATCTATTGATTACAAGCTAAGTATATTAGATATTTATCAGGTCAGTTAATACTAGATTGTAGATAATAAGTATGGAGAACTCTCAGATGCTGGTGGTGTAAGAAAGTGCATGAGTATATATATGAATGGAAGAAGACAATGTCTAACCATTTTAATTAAATTTTTCAATGAATCTGTAAAACTTAACATATTTAAACATGAGCCAATAGGGAAATAGTGTTGAAAACAAGTCAATGTACAAGTTTTTAAGATTATTTATGTAGACAGATGGACTGACAGCTATGATACTGTTTAATGATACACTAATATTAGCATCCATTCCAGAGTATATCACAAAAAATTTATTTAATAAAAAAATTATATCCCATCAAGTGTTAATGGTATGCCAATTTTAGGCATAAGTTCAGCCATAATGACAAACTGTATCCTCTTACATAAGCCTCTTCTAGGAGACTGTCATATCTTCTAGTTGCTCATCTAACTCATCAAGGTCTTCATCATCCCCATCAAACAATTCCTCATCTATATCAACATCGGCTGCCTCAGTTCCCCCAACTGCACCATCCACTGCTCCTGTGTCCATTGTCGCAGCTGCCGCAGCAGTTTTAGCTAATTGAAAAGAATGCAGTTACATAAACATTAGAAAGCAGATATTGATATATTTCCCTAGGATATCCTTCAGGGTCAGGCCATCAAGAATACCTATTATATCCATGAACATCTTAGACAACATGATTAGTAAAAATGTTAAGGGCTCTTTTAAAATAAACAATCACTCATGGTGATAATTTTTTCCTGCCCCTTTTTCAGACTCAGCATTTACTGGTTACAGGAACCTGGTATGTGTATAGAGACAGAATGTAAATAAGATGTACATGGACTGATAAAGCTTTCCAAGTAAAAAGTTTGCCAATAAAAAGTTCTTATGTGTGTGTGTCTTATATACACACATACTGTATGACTGATAAAATTAGTTAGTATTAACTATTTCAACAAACCGGCTGTATCCCACCAAAGCAGGGTGGCCCAAGAAGAAAAACGAAAGTTTCTCTTTTTATTTTTTTTCAACAAGTCGGCCGTCTCCCACCGAGGCAGGGTGACCCAATAAGAAAATACTTTTATCATCATTCAACACCTTCACCTCACTCACACATAATCACTGTTTTTGCAGAGGTGCTCAGAACACAATAGTTTAGAAGCATATATGTATAAAGATACACAACATATCCCTCCAAACTGCTAATATCCCAAAACCTCTCCTTTAGAGTGCAGGCATTGTACTTCTCATTTCCAGGACTCAAGTCTGGCTATATAAAAATAACCGGTTTCCCTGAATCCCTTCACTAAATATTACCCTGCTCACACTCCAACAGATCGTCAGGTCCCAAATACCATTCGTCTTCATTCACTCCTATCGAACACGCTCATGCACGCCTGCTGGAAGTCCAAGCCCCTTGCCCACAAAACCTCCCTTACCCCTTCCTTCCAACCTTTTCGAGGATGACCCCTACCCCGCCTTCCTTCTCCTACAGATTTATACGCTCTCCATGTCATTCTACTTTGATCCATTCTCTCTAAATGACCAAACCACCTCAACAACCCCTCTTCTGCCCTCTGATTAATACTTTTATTAACTCCACACCTTCCCCTAATTTCCACACTCCAAATTCTCAGCACAATATTTACACCACACATTGCCCTTATACAGGACATCTCCACTGCCTCCAATCGCCTTCTCACTGCAGCATTAACAACCCAAGCTTCACAACTATATAACAGTGTTGGTACCACTATACTTTCATACATTCCCTTCTTTGCCTCCATAGATAACGTTTTTTGTCTCCACATATAGCTGAATGCACCACTCACCTTTTTTCCTTCATCAATTCAATGGTTAACCTGCATTTTAAAGGAGGGGTTTAGTATATTGGCAGTTTGGAGGGATATGTTATACATCTTTATATATGCTTGTAAACTGTTGGATCTGGGCACCTCTGCAAAAACAGTGATTATGTATGAGTGAGGTGAAAGTGTTGAATGATGATGGAAGTATTTTCTTTTTTGGGATTTTCTTTCTTTTTGGGTCACCCTGCCTCGGTGGGAGATGGCCGACTTGTTAAAAAAAAAAAAATTTTTTTTTTTTTACCTCAGTAGCTGACTTCTTCCAAGGCAGGGTGACCCAAAGAATATACTTGCACTATCATTCATTCAATTATTGTCTTGTTATAAGTATGCTGACATCACAATACAAATCACTCTCTGACTGCAACATCCTCACCACTCCTTCAAAGTGCTAGCACTGCCCTTCTACCTTCAAGACTAAAGTCTGGCTAATGGTTTCCCTTGAATCCCTTCATAAGTTACTTTGTTCTTACTCCAATATGTTAATTAAAGGATATCTTACCTGCATCTAATATTATCTCAGCTTGCAGTTGCTGTAGTCTATCAGGTTTGGCTATGGATACATTTGATGATTCGACTTCCTGGTACTCAGATAGCAGGTCATTGATATTGATTTCCCTGTACTGAAATAGAAATTTTATTTTAACTGTGTTGACCCAAATGGAAACTGTAATATACGTATTTTTTTAATTACACAGCTACAAGTACGTACATAAATATTTCATTATAAAACTATTTAATACTGCTTAATGCTTCAATTAACAAAGGGCAACAATTAAAAGACTAATTAAATTTTAATTAATGTCATGCTTCGTGTTAATGTTTGATCATGTACTCTATCCTGCCAGTGATAAGATGATCAGACTTTTTACCAATAAAAAATTAATAAAATTAAAGAAACTACAGTATAGCAATTGTTATAGTATGACTGTTACTATGTGTTAAAAAATGTAAATAAGCTTAGTGTATGATAATGTTCACTGGTGAAACCTGGGTTAAACTGCAACAGGCCTACTAGTCCTACTCAGTTAACTACTTCTACTCGTGTTCTTGTCAAACTTATTTTTAAAGCTGTCTAAACAACTCTCTGAATAATGCTACTTAGCAGTGTTTCACTAGTCTACAATTCTATCACCAAACCAGTGCTTTCGTAAATCTAAATTTATTTTACAAATCCTCTGCTGCAAGTTCTATTGTGGTTTGATATTTTTTTTATACACTTCATTTATTTATCCTTTGTTTATTTGCATTTTTCTCTTCCAACTGTATAGTTACTGCTGATTTATAGTGTTTTTTTTAGTGGAATATGAGATTTAAGAGTTTTCAATATGTAGTGTTGGCTATCACAAAATCTTCTCACAACACAACATTTTTCTTGCATTCTCACTCTTTTTATATTTCATATCAGTCAATAACAAACACAGCTACTGCAAATTATGACTGTGGTACATATTTGATCTCAGAAATCATGGGTATGTGTACATACTGTAATGTACAGTGTAAGGTATGATATAATACTACAATGAAACTTAGGTTAAACTCTGAATGGACATAGTAGTACAATATTTGCTCTTCAAACTACTTAGATACAGGTCCTTTAGTTAATCTGTATATACCAGAAGACAGAATACATACAATAATAATTTCATTTCAGATTTGGTTACAAGAGAAAAGTAACACTTCCATTTCAAGATAGTGAACTTTCTGCATAACAGAATTAAACTGTAAAACATTAAAGAGTAACAGCAAGCTAACTCAACCTGCTTGGAAAGACTTAAACCCTGTAAGAGGAATAATTTAGATATACATTATTTACTTTTTATATGCACAAGTTTCAGTACTGGGTGTACCTAATTGAGAAATTAAGCATTACTATTTACCTCAATTTCTTGTTCACCATTCTCAGGATCTTTTCCCAAATTGTGCACATCAAATGACTCATCACCTTCTTCAAGATCATCTCCTCCAACTGCCAAGTTTGGATTAAAGGTAAACATTTCACGGCCAGACAACTGAAAAAAAGGTAAATCATCTCATAATAACTGAGATACAATACACTAGTATTCAGTGGTGGGCACAGTTCCACAAATCCAATAACTGCTAATTAGCGGAACTAACTTTTTGTTTAGCGGATTAGAATTTCCGCTAACTTTGGAAACCATTAGCGGACCAGTTAGCTTCCACTAAATAAAGTTCCACTAACTTAAGAGTCAAAAAAAAAAAAAAAAAAAAAAAAAAATCCATTGTTGGTAGTCGGAAAGCAACGGTGGCACTAGCATCAGTCAGTCTGTGTTGGACATAAAGACTGTAGACCTATTCGTCTGCAAAATGCTAGTGCCATTGTTGGTAGTCGGAAAGCAACGGTGGCACTAGCATCAGTCAGTCTGTGTTGGACATAAAGACTGTGGACCTATTCGTCTGCAAAATGCTACCGCTGCTTGTAGTCAGTCTGATCAAGATGCTGAACTCCAGCAAGACATCGATGTCCAGCTGCATCCTGGGCAGGAGGATTCTGGTCAGCCATAAACAGCTGGAAGAGTATCTTAAAAGTTATTTATGAGTTATAAATGCTTATTAAACTACTACTATAGCTTTTTTTTATATTTTCTTAATTTTCGTGGGTATTGCAAGTCATGACAGTTTAGAAGTACAGTAGACCCTCAGGTAACGGCATTAATCCATTCCAGAGAGCTTGCCTTTAACCGATTTTGATGTTAACTGAATTAATTTTCCCCATAAGAAATAATGGAAATCCAATTAATCCATTCCAGACACCCAAAAGTATTAAAAAAAATTTTTTACATGAAATATACACTTTCCTACACAGAAAACAATGAGACAAACAGAATAAACAATACTGAAATGACACTTACCTTTATTGAGGATTTATTGATGAGTGATGAGATGGGAGGAGGGCAGAGGATGGAGGAGTTTACAATTGTTTGGAAGGGAATTCTCCTTCCATAAAGACTTCAGGTACCAAGTCCTTTTCTGGGGTTACTTCCCATCTTTGTTTTTTAATGGCACCAGGACCAGCTTGAGAGTCACTGGAGCCCTGTCGCACCAAAAATCTGTCTAGAGAGCTCTGTTTCTGGCGTCTCTTAAGATTTCCCTAAAATGGGACACAACACTGTCATTGTACATGTTACCAATAAGGCTTGCAACAGCTGTGTCAGGGCAATGTTCATCCATAAATGCTTGCACCTTTGTCCACACTGTACAGTCCTTAATCTTTGATGAAGACTAACTTCCTCCATCCTGTGAGTGCCTTTTCCTCCTGAGTAATATAGGTCCTGTTTGGCATTTTCTTCCAAAGCAGCCCTGTTTTGTCACAATTGAACACTTGTTGGGGTTTTAATTTTTCAGCCTCTATGTACCGCTTAAAGTCCTGCACATATTTTTCAGCTGCATTTTTTGTCAGAACTGGCAGCCTCATCATGCCTTATCACAATGTGTATGCCATTATGATTCTTAAACCTCTCAAACCAGCTTTTGCTAGCCTTAAATTCATCAATATGAGCACTATTTGGAGGCATTTTCTTAATGAGATCCGCATGCAACTGCCTTGCCTTTTCATATGTTACTGACTATGAAACACTATCTCCTGATAATTGTTTCTCATTGATCCACACCAACAACAGTCTTTCCACATCTTCAAGTATTTGCGATCTCTGTTTTGTAAAGCAGTGGATCTTCAACTAACGCCTTTAATCCGTTCCAGAGAGCTAGCCTCTAGTCGAATTAGCCGTTAGTCAAATTAATTTTCCCCATAAGAAATAATGGAAATCCAATTAATCTGTTTCAGACAGCCAAAAGTATTAAAAAAAAATATTTTTTTTAAAGATTAAATATAAATATACATACATAAAACAATGACAAATAAATGTAAAGCACTAATAAAATGGATAAATGAACATTTAACATCACACCTTTATTGAATTGACTTGACTTGTTGGTGTATGAAGGACATGTAGGAGGTAAGAGGAAGGCAAGTTTATTATGGTTCAATATGAGGCTAATATCATCTCTATGGCTTATTTATCTATCACAATTCATCTAATATGACTTAAGTATGACTAAACGTAGTGAGCAATTTCAGAACTTCTTAAAAAGTAAATACTGAAAGAAGTTACTTACGTACAGTACTCAAGTAGTTTTACTTCATTACTTTACAACACTGGTACTTATACTCGAGTATTAAAGATGAGTACTGTTTGCAACACTGTCCTTTCCATTAGCCTAAAAAATTAAGAAAATCTTGTCTCATTAAAACCTTTTTGTTTACAATTTCTGTGTTGGTACTGTATGGGTTTTCAGTTTTTTCAATCGTAGCTCTCCAGGTCTGTTATAAAAGTCTTAAAAGTAAAAGACCAAAAAATTAAACCGAATCTGAATTTGCGTGAAAAAGTTAGCATTTAGCGTTAGCTTCTGCTAATTTTTTTGTCTGTTTAGCGGTTTAGCGTAAGCAGAGCTAATTTTTTAGTTAGCAGGTTAGTGTTAGTAACCTTTTGGTTAGCTGTGCCTACCACTGCTAATATTCACTATAGATCTGCAGCTACAAGCCCAACTGATATCCAGTTAACCATTGCTAAAGGTATCATCATACAACATAGGATATACATTATATACTGTACATGCTGTGGTCCTGAAAGTCAGTTGGACTGTGATGTCTGAGACTTCTGGAAGGACAATTTGGAAGAGTGATAATGAATGATTTTCTTCACCACGTCATCTTGTCCTGGTGGATAATGGCTGATGTGTTTAAAAAGAGTAAGGCTCACTGGTGACAAATGAAGCTGTTGGTGTAATTACATATCTTTAGCTACAGGAGCAGGACTACTGTGGTGAAAGTAAGGGGTAGATGTAGTACTAGTAGTCTAGGAGCAGTTAGTGAAAGTAAGTTAATTAAGGAAAGAGACAGTTTTGTAAAGATAAAAGCAAATGTTAGGGAAAAGGTAGGCTAGAGGAAGTATAAGAAATGACATTAAAGTATGGAGCACATATAAGGTTGTATTGCTAGTGTGTGCAGCAGCAGTTGGGAATCGGCCAGTGTGTTAATATAATAATAATCGGCAAATTTTGCTGAATGTAAGAAGCTGTTATGGAGAGATCAAAAAAGTGAAGAAGCCTGGAAAGCAAATGGACTTACCAATTAAAAAAAAATGAAGAGGGGAGATATTAAATGGGGAGGTGGGGGTATTGGAAAGCAGGAGAGAACATTCTAATGAGTTAGTGAATGTTTGTGATGAAGGGGTCTGCCCTTACATACAAGCTAAAATAATGTTCTAAAACTAAAATAGAGGCAAGTAAGTATCTTTTAAGAGTGATGTGGCAGAAGTCAAGATGATAATGCTGATGACAACCATTGAGGTTTGAGGGATTTACACAATGGAACACCGGTTAACAAAATGAATGGATGTTCTTTATTTTTTAGGAATGTAAGTAATGGCCAAAGTAACTGCATACTGTATTTTTTTTTTAACTCAACAACTGTCTCATCCTACAGCAGGGTAACCCAAAGATGAAAACACATTCACTATCATTCATTCAACTGCCATCTTTCCAGAAGCATTCTGACATCACTATCAGACTAACCCCTGATTGCATTCATACACACCCCTTGTCCAGAGTGCAGACACTGCACTTGGACTGAAACCAAAAGTGTAAACAACCTGAATTAAGAGAATACAGGAGGGCCCCACTGATACAGCAGGCTAAGTTCTGGGTTACTGTTGTAAAGTGAAATAAGACTTTTTTCACTTTCAAATGCATATAAAACCCTGATAACATGTTCACACTATCATACAGTAAGTGTGTAATAGAGCTAGACCTAAAAAATGCATATACAGTACACACATTGCTTTTATTTTATTAATACACTGGCCATTTCCCACCAAGGTAGGGTGGCCTGAAAAAGAAAAACTTTCACCATCATTCACTCCATCATTGTCTTGTCAGAGGTGTGCTCACACTAAAATTATAAAACTGCAACAATAACACCTTCACTCTTTCAGAGTGCAGGCACTACTTCCCATCTCCAGAACTCAAGTCCGGCCTGCTGGTTTCCCTGACTTCCTTCATAAATATTACCCTGCTTACACTCCAACAGCACATCAAGTCCTAAAAATCATTTGTCTCCATTTGCTCCTATCTAACACGCTCACGCATGCTTGCTGGAAGTCCAAGCCCCTTGCACACAAAACCTCCTTTACCCCCTCCCTCCAACCTATCCTAGGCTGACCTCTACCCCACCTTCCCTCCACTACAGATTTATACACTCTTGAAGTCATTCCGTTTTGTTCCATCCTCTCTACGTGTCCGAACCACTTTAACAACCCCTCTTCAACTTATAGTGAGGGATGAATATATTATTGAAGGAAGTCTGAATAAATGAAGAATGGATATAATTGAAAACATTTGTGAAACGCTACAAAGCAGGGCCTGCTCGTACTCAGGGATGGGCAAGTCGAGAGAGATGTTTAGATCTATATAAAGTAAGAATTACAAGTGTAACACACACTACTGAAATCTTGCTGCTATATGAACTTTATGTTGATATATTACATTATAATGCAACAACCAACACCAGACTTCAGTTGCAGATTCATTAAATTTTATTTAAAGAAGTGTGCGTGTGTAATTAACACAGTACACTCACCCCAAAGTCTTTGCCAGAGTGGAAGTCCTTCTTCTTCTTTTCTGAATCTTTTCTCTCTAGATCTTCCTTCTCTTTTAGCTTCCTCTTTTTCCATGCTAAGAATGTCTCTAGTGTAACTCTTGTCGTATTGTGCCCCAATGCAGCTCGCTCACGTTCCACAAGGTCTTCTAGACTAATTTCTTCCTTTTGCTTATCCATCTTCTTGCGATCCTGTAAATAAAAATATTAAGCCTTTGTATGTTTCCCAAATTCTTCCATTATTACTAAGATTGCAAGATTATACTGGAATTATAATTAATCAATTACTAATTTTTTTAACACACCAGGTAGGGTGAACTGAAAAAGAAGAAATGCTTTCACCATCACTCCATCAGTCTTGCCAGAAGTTTGGATGTCCCTCCAAACTGCAATATCCCTCCTTCAGAGTGCAAGCACTATACTTCCCACCTACAAGACTCAAATCTGGCTAACCTAGTTCCCTGAATCCCTTCATAAACGTTGTTCATACTCCAACAGCACAATGAGTCATAAAAACCACTTGACTCCACTCACTCCTATCTAACATGCTCATGCCTGCCTGTTGGATGTCCAAGCCCCTTACATACAAAATCTCCTTTACCACCTCCCTTCAATCTTTCCTCGGATGACCCCTACCCCTCCTTAACTGCACTCCAGATTTATACACCCTAGAAGTCATCTTATTTTGCTCCATCCTCTCTAAATGTCTACCTGAAGTCTAACTGGAGGGTGTTCAGGGGTCAACACCCTTGTGGCCCAGTCCTTGACCCAGCCACCTCACTAACCCCTCTTCAGCCCTTGGGATAATACTTATATTAACCCTGCATCTCCACATAATCTCTAAACTTTGAATTCTCTGCATAATATTTACACCACACATTGCCCCCAAACATGACATTTCCACTGCGTTCAACCTCCTCCTACTAAAAAGTCTGGATAATTTTAATTAGGCATTGATAAATATAAAACAAGAAATGGGAGATATGAACAATTTACAGTCTACAAGAATTAAGAGAACCAGACAAAATAAAAAATGCAAAATAATATGACTGCTCCAACTCCTACCTCTCAAAATCTCTACACCTATCTTGTGTAGTCCTTTTTTTCTGAATGATAAATAATCTCGGTAACCTCCTGTTCACAGAATTATTCCATCCTCTATTTCACTTATTATTCTTTGTATAAGATTCACACCAAATATGATCTTAAACAACATGCCTCCACTGCTCCCAGCCTCATCCCTGCTGCAACTAAGTCCCTGCATGCTTCACACTCATACTAAAGTGCTTGTATAATACTCTGATACACCTTCCTTTTATATATTCCTCATCACTGTAGGTACTTCCCCCTTCCCTCTTGCCTATAATAATGCATGATTCTCCCTTTCTTTCACAGACCCATCTGCCAACCCATCCTCTGCCAAATGTGTAAATACATTTACTTTCTCCAGTTCTTTCCTCTAATTTTTCATTGCACAGACTTTTTGCTTACTTAAATTGTATTGTGCTTCAAACACTTCAAACTTCCACCAGCTTTCAAATCTCCCAAAAGCCCTAAGTCGTCAGAAAAAAAAAAAAAAAAAAAAAAAAAAAAAAAAAGGAAATTATGATAACTCTCACTTCAAACCTGTCAGTATATAACTTCTAAGAACACACCTCCCCTCAACACTAAACACTAGTATTCGCTTCAACAAACCCATCCATAAACCTTTTAAACCATGGCGAGCAAAATAACCCAACTAACATCCATATTACTGTAAAATATACTCCTATCTTACAAACCTTAACCTCATGAATTTAGTACCACACATACATATAATAGTACATACCCTAAAAAGAGCTTCACTTTCCTTGAAACTTTTTACAACTTCTACATCAATTCCACATGTTTGCAACACCTGCCCTACTGCTTCCTTATCAACCCTATCATATTTGCAACAACCAGCTTTATATCCATATGCAAGTACTACCCATTTATATATTTAACACAAATCCTCCATCCCCGTATCCCCTCCCCTTCTTAAGTCCACCTTTTTTGTCTGCAAGTGAGCTTCTTGTTGTTCCCTTAACTCTTCAGATAGCAATTCTTTCTACGTGGATGCCGTCTACTAACTTACTACCATTGTATATTTCATAAAACATGATTACCAATTTATATAATGCTTTTCGTAGAACTACATACACTTCTGAATGATTAGATGACAGAATCTGAGCAATTAAAATTAAATACAGCTAGCTTACCTTCTTTAGTACAAAGCCTGGGGGTAAGGCATGGCGATAAATGCATGCACCTCCATTTGGACAATCCCAAAACCAACCATATTTGCCGTTTTCCACAGCATCCAAAAAATACTTGCAAACCTGAAAGACAAAAGCAAAACATTAATAATGCTGATCATTGCTATTGAGACAACAGCAAAAAACAGTATGTACAGTTGCAGCTTTTAGATAATTCTCTTCATGTTAAACTATACTTAAGTACGTATTAAAAAACAAAAAGATAATTCTTTCACAAATACTCATATACTATTTATATAGTTTTAAAGATGTTCCTGGATGAGTTATCTTTCCATAATGTACATGAGTATGATAGGATTTTATTTGTCAAACAGTCCTACCTAAGATATGTATGTCACAGGTTTGAAGCGTTTCTACCCTCGCAGCCCAGCCTAGTGCCAGGTTTCTCTTGTCATGAGATGGGGGGGGGGGGAATCAGTGTGAATGATAAATTACAAAATCTCTTCCCTTCTCTATGGAACAAGAACTTGTATATACAGTAAACCATCTATCATCCAGTGATCAATTATTCAGCATCCATTATCTAGCAGTTGTTTTCTTTCCAGTGTAATGTAAAATCTGCTAACTGCTGGAAACTGCTTCCTGTCCAAGCCATTTATCATGGTCCACTAGAAGTTAAAACAACCTATCTTCTTAATGCATTACTGAGTATCCCAGAGCACACAAAATAAATTTCTCATCCCTACAGGTTGCATCAACATTCTTGCCAAAACAAATTTAAGTAATACCTAAAGAAATAGCCAATTTTCTCACTTGGGCTTGGTTCATAGTGACACTGATTTCTGAAATGTTTCTAAGCATTTGTCAAACATATTCATTTGTTTGGGATCTGTTTGTTTGGCAAGTGTGTATTTTTTTTTTTTTTATCACACTGGCCGATTCCCACCAAGGCAGGGTGGCCCGAAAAAGAAAAACTTTCACCATCATTCACTCCATCACTGTCTTGCCAGAAGGGTGCTTTACACTACAGTTTTTAAACTGCAACATTTACACCCCTCCTTCAGAGTGCAGGCACTGTACTTCCCATCTCCAGGACTCAAGTCCGGCCTGCCGGTTTCCCTGAACCCCTTCATAAATGTTACTTTGCTCACACTCCAACAGCACGTCAAGTATTAAAAACCATTTGTCTCCATTCACTCCTATCAAACACGCTCACGCATGCCTGCTGGAAGTCCAAGCCCCTCACACACAAAACCTCCTTTACCCCCTCCCTCCAACCCTTCCTAGGCCGACCCTACCCCGCCTTCCTTCCACTACAGACTGATACACTCTTGAAGTCATTCTGTTTCGCTCCATTCTCTCTACATGTCCGAACCACCTCAACAACCCTTCCTCAGCCCTCTGGACAACAGTTTTGGTAATCCCGCACCTCCTCCTAACTTCCAAACTACGAATTCTCTGCATTATATTCACACCATACATTGCCCTCAGACATGACATCTCCACTGCCTCCAGCCTTCTCCTCGCTGCAACATTCATCACCCATGCTTCACACCCATATAAGAGCGTTGGTAAAACTATACTCTCATACATTCCCCTCTTTGCCTCCAAGAACAAAGTTCTTTGTCTCCACAGACTCCTAAGTGCACCACTCACCCTTTTCCCCTCATCAATTCTATGATTCACTTCATCTTTCATAGACCCATCCGCTGATACGTCCACTCCCAAATATCTGAATACATTCACCTCCTCCATACTCTCTCCCTCCAATCTGATATCCAATCTTTCATCACCTAATCTTTTTGTTATCCTCATAACCTTACTCTTTCCTGTGTTCACCTTTAATTTTCTTCTTTTGCACACCCTACCAAATTCATCCACCAATCTCTGCAATTTCTCTTCAAAATCTCCCAAGAGCACAGTGTCATCAGCAAAGAGCAACTGTGACAACTCCCACTTTGTGTGTGATTCTTTATCTTTTAACTCCACGCCTCTTGCCAAGACCCTCGCATTCACTTCTCTTACAACCCCATCTATAAATATATTAAACAACCACGGTGACATCACACATCCTTGTCTAAGGCCTACTTTTACTGGGAAATAATTTTCCTCTTTCCTACACACTCTAACTTGAGCCTCACTATCCTCGTAAAAACTCTTCACTGCTTTCAGTAACCTACCTCCTACACCATACACCTGCAACATCTGCCACATTGCCCCCCTATCCACCCTGTCATACGCCTTTTCCAAGTCCATAAATGCCACAAAGACCTCTTTAGCCTTATCTAAATACTGTTAACTTATATGTTTCACTGTAAACACCTGGTCCACACACCCCCTACCTTTCCTAAAGCCTCCTTGTTCATCTGCTATCCTATTCTCCGTCTTACTCTTAATTCTTTCAATAATAACTCTACCATACACTTTACCAGGTATACTCAACAGACTTATCCCCCTATAATTTTTGCACTCTCTTTTATCCCCTTTGCCTTTATACAAAGGAACTATGCATGCTCTCTGCCAATCCCTAGGTACCTTACCCTCTTCCATACATTTATTAAATAATTGCACCAACCACTCCAAAACTATATCCCCACCTGCTTTTAACATTTCTATCTTTATCCCATCAATCGCGGCTGCCTTACCCCCTTTCATTTTACCTACTGCCTCACGAACTTCCTCCACACTCACAACTGGCTCTTCCTCACTCCTGCAAGATGTTATTCCTCCTTGCCCTATACATGAAATCACAGCTTCCCTATCTTCATCAACATTTAACAATTCCTCAAAATATTCCCTCCATCTTCCCAATACCTCTAACTCTCCATTTAATAACTCTCCTCTCCTATTTTTAACTGACAAATCCATTTGTTCTCTAGGCTTCCTTAACTTGTTAATCTCACTCCAAAACTTTTTCTTATTTTCAACAAAATTTGTTGATAACATCTCGCCCACTCTCTCATTTGCACTCTTTTTACATTGCTTCACCACTCTCTTAACCTCTCTCTTTTTCTCCATATACTCTTCCCTCCTTGCATCACTTCTACTTTGTAAAAATTTCTCATATGCTAACTTTTTCTCCCTTACTACTCTCTTTACATCATCATTCCACCAATCGCTCCTCTTCCCTCCCGCACCCACTTTCCTGTAACCACAAACTTCTGCTGAACACTAACACTACATTTTTAAACCTACCCCATACCTCTTCGACCCCATTGCCTATGCTCTCATTTGCCCATCTATCCTCCAATAGCTGTTTAAATCTTACCCTAACTGCCTCCTCTTTTAGTTTATAAACCTTCACCTCTCTCTTCCCTGATGCTTCTATTCTCCTTGTATCCCATCTACCTTTTACTCTCAGTGTAGCTACAACTAGAAAGTGATCTGATATATCTGTGGCCCCTCTATAAACATGTACATCCTGAAGTCTACTCAACAGTCTTTTATCTACCAATACATAATCCAACAAACTACTGTCATTTCGCCCAACATCATATCTTGTATACTTATTTATCCTCTTTTTCTTAAAATATGTATTACCTATTACTAAACCCCTTTCTATACAAAGTTCAATCAAAGGGCTCCCATTATCATTTACACCTGGCACCCCAAACTTACCTACCACACCCTCTCTAAAAGTTTCTCCTACTTTAGCATTCAGGTCCCCTACCACAATTACTCTCTCACTTGGTTCAAAGGCTCCTATACATTCACTTAACATCTCCCAAAATCTCTCTCTCTCCTCTACATTCCTCTCTTCTCCAGGTGCATACACGCTTATTATGACCCACTTTTCGCATCCAACCTTTACTTTAATCCACATAATTCTTGAATTTACACATTCATATTCTCTTTTCTCCTTCCATAACTGATCATTTAACATTACTGCTACCCCTTCCTTTGCTCTAACTCTCTCAGATACTCCAGATTTAATCCCATTTATTTCCCCCACTGAAACTCCCCTACCCCCTTCAGCTTTGTTTCGCTTAGGGCCAGGACATCCAACTTCTTTTCATTCATAACATCAGCAATCATCTGTTTCTTGTCATCCGCACTACATCCACGCACATTTAAGCATCCCAGTTTTATAAAGTTTTTCTTCTTCTCTTTTTTAGTAAATGTCTACAGGAGAAGGGGTTACTAGCCCATTGCTCCCGGCATTTTAGTCGCCTCATACGACACGCATGGCTTACTGAGGAAAGATTCTTTTCCACTTCCCCATGGACAATAGAAGAAATAAAGAAGAACAAGAGCTATGTAGAAAAAGGAGAAAAACCTAGATGTATGTATATATATATATGCATGTGCGTGTCTGTGAAGTGTGACCAAAGTGTAAGTAGGAGTAGCAAGATATCCCTGTTATCTAGCGTGTTTATGAGACAGAAAAAGAAACCAGCAATCCTACCATCATGCAAAACAGTTACAGGTTTCTGTTTCACAGTCATCTGGCAGGACGGTAGTACTTCCCTGGGTGGTTGCTGTCTACCAACCTACTACCTACAGTAGTGTGTATTATGTTCACAATTCTCTGGTGTAAAGCAATCATGAAATGTGGATTTGTTTTCGAGGGCCTCTTGTTTTTCTTGAGTGGAAGATCCCTAAACTGAAAATTAGGAATAGGATTGCATTCAAAATGTGATCACTGGCTTTTTCACACCCAAATCTATTTTATTTATTTAAACTGTTCCATATGAAAATAAATTTGAATACTATAAGAATGATATTTAAAGAAATCCAGTATAACCAAAACTAAAAAGAAAATGCGATTTTTTTTTTAAATCTATCTCCCCTTCTGAAAGCAGTGCCAGATACTCAATGATTTACTGTATATAGTTTGTCCAGGTTATTATTAGACAGTGAATATCATTCCAGATATATACTGAGACTTGGGTAGTACAAGACATTTTTATATCTGGTCAAATATGCAAATTTTCAAAACTAGATCTGCTGATAAAATTTACATTTAGCTAGGTTACACCAGCTGGTGATGCAAACTCCCAGATGTATTTGTATCCTAGCCGAAGTGAGGCGGTAGCAATATCCAAGAGTCTGCTGATTTTGTTGGATGCACCAAAGACATGTGGCACTTCCTGCATGACAAAATGATGACAGATGGATTAACTGGTGCAAATATTGTCTCAAGTCTTATTAAGTTCAATAAGGTTCTTTAAATTTTGTACTCGGATTACCATAAGACAATGGACAATTCAGTTACAGTCAATTCCTTCCTTAAAGGCATATATGCCCTTGCCATCTTATCAGCTCTGAACCCATTATTCATTATGTAATGTATAGAGTACTACCTACAAGATGAGTATGGGATGCATAATACAGCTACCAGACTAACAAATATATTTATCAGATAAAAATACAAATCCCCTTTTGTTTTAACATCAGCCATTTCCTACCAAGGTAGGGTGACCACTTTACTAAGCAAGAAAGTGGGAGTAAAATTTGGTAAATAATTTATATTGTAACCCCTGAGGAACAAATATGTTCTGAAGAGACACCCAAGCACTATTCTTCATGTTGATAAATTAGACACATGTGCAACTCTTGGGTATCTTTATTGAGGAAACGTTTCGCCACACAGTGGCTTCATCAGTCCATACATAGGAGAAACTTGAAGAACAGGAGGAGAATGAGGTAATCAGTCCCTCAACCTTGAGTCGATGTGTTCAGTCCATCAATCTTGAGTAGAATATGGCAGATGAGCGGTGAAGCAGCTTATAAACCGTATGGCAGGAGAGGTGCAGCAGTCATAGGTGGTGTCACATTTGTTCAATGTGGATGTAGGTCGTGCCCAAGAATTAGGCAAGCGAAGAATTCCTAAGTATTAAGATCCCAAGAAGTTGCATGTTGGTTCTCTGAACCATTCATCTACAAACCTGTCAGACACTGCAACTTCTTGGGACCTTAATACTTAGGAATTCTTCGCTTGCCTAATTCTTGGGCACAACCTACTTCCACATTGAACAAATGTGACACCACCTATGACTGCTGCACCTCTCCTGCCATACGGTTTATAAGCTGCTTCTCCGCTCATCTGCCGTATTCTACTCAAGATTGGTGGACTGAACACATCGACTCAAGGTTGAGGGACTGATTACCTCATTCTCCTCCTGTTCTTCAAGTTTCTCCTATGTATGGACTGATGAAGCCACTGTGTGGCGAAACGTTTCCTCAATAAAGATACCCAAGAGTTGCACATGTGTCTAATTTATCAACATGTCGGTTCTCTGAATCATTCATCTACAAACTATTCTTCATGTTATTACTATATATTTTAACCTCATATACTAATCATAAACAGTTACAATAGCAAGTAAAGTAAACACTTCTTTCATATTAAACCCAAAAATATGATACTTGATAAAAACAAAAATATAATCTCAATTACAATATTTTGGGAAAAAATTACATCTACTATAAAATACAATACTATACATATTCTAGTCCTTAAAGAACTACACTGTATTTAACAAATAGCATTCTGATGATGACTTGTTTCTGTATAGAGTACTGAACTGCTATTTACATCAAATGTGAATGAAAAATAATGAAAGATTATGGGGAGTGAGAATATGCATACTTTAATGATATATAAACACATATCATAGTTATTATTAGCTGTACATTGAATACCGAGTCATTAAAATATAATAAAAGGAAATGGGTTGTACGAGTCTTATTAGTTTCATGCCAAAATATATGTGGGTTCATGAAGATATTAAATCCAATAAAAATATATATATATATATATATAAATTATCCCTTGGACTGAAATATAATTTTCTGAATAAAACTGGTGTGCAAGGAGCAAAATGTAATATCAAAGAATTCTCTTCTGAATTATGTACTTTAAAGGCAATTCAAAATCTAAGGTGGTAACCTATTCACTTACAATTTCTGTGGAGGGCTTAGACTTTTCCATTCCATGTTTTTTCTCCACAACATCTAAAAGTGTTGCCTCATCCCAATCTGCACTTGTTTCGTCCTTGTCTCTTACATCAACATAGGCACTACGTTTTTCACTCTGTAAAAATAATTAACTTCAACATCTCTCGACTGACAATACAATTACAGTATATGCGAACTCAACCTTCAAGCATTGTCATTAAGATTCTAGTGGGTGAAATATCTGAATAGCCAAGAGTGGTAAGTGGTTGACTACTAATTAAAAAAATAAGAAAAATCATGCAAATATATTTTTTAAATCTCATTCATTATTTTAAATACAGAATGCTAATTATACTACTTACCTTGCGCTCCACATTGAGATCATGGGAGAATTTGCACTTAGAGCCTTTGCCACATTGACCCTGCTTGAAGAATGCACACAAGACTGATTTTGGATCAGCACCTATCAGAAGTAAAATATGACATGGAAACCTTATTAATAGTTCTTGTTTCTCAGAACTATATATTTATATAACAGGAATTACAGTTAATATGGGGGCCAGACATTCACACAAACCTCCTTGATAAGAAATACAATGTACACAATGTGCTCTACATAAATTTAAGACTAAGCAAGCCATATGTGACCTCCCTGCCCATCATAGTTAATTTTTATTTGCTGTACAGAATCTCTCAAAATCAATGGTTTATGAAAGAGTAAGGATAAGGGATTCAACAGGTAAAGCATCTCGCTGCGTGAAAGAAATGGTTCACTCACAGAACCTCCTCCACAATATTACAGATGCCTGTTATCACTCCTGAATGAAGCTACATCACTAACCTTTTGCCTAACAGTTTTAGAAAACAAATCTTCTATGCAGCACAAAATATAATTGAAATAAGAATTTTATTTATATTACATTCAAGGGAAATCATCTGCAGAATGAGTTAACTGATCCAAGAGGGTGGCTCCAATTCCTGAACTCAGAGCCCTTCTACCAATCAGCAGGAATTCATGGCTATTCAGCCTTGCTTTAGTAAGTAGCAGAATGGTTGACCTCATCTCCCTCTAAAGCACTAATGAAAGTTTAGCAAGATAAAAATGGTTTCACACACATTGTTCTTATATACGTATTTGGCTACACTCATGCTGCATCCTTCACGCTGCTGGTCCACTGCAAGCTTATTTTCACAGTGATTGATGCATGCCTTTCATTTTGTTATTCATTTATTAAACTATCCAGCACTGCATTTACAAGTTGGTACTCTTACACACAAAATAATGTTTGTATTTACTAACCTTTACCAGCAGTTTGCTGGACTGGTTTAAAAATGGCATTGATCTCAGCAAGCTCTTTCTTCTTATCATCCTTCTTTTTTACTTCCTTCTCAAGTTCCTTTGCACTCTTATTTCCTCCATGCTTTACTTGGTGCTGCACCTGTTGGATGAATTTCTGCTGCTTTGCTCCCTTCTTGTTCTTCAGACCAAATGTTTTATCCTATAAAGATAACCTAAACTAAATACATAATAAAAAATAAAGAAATCTCTCTCATTATTTTTTCACCCCACCTCTCTCTCAATCTTTCATTCATTTCTCCTCTCTCATTCATTCCTACTCTTTCCCATTCTTTCATTCAATTCTTCTCTCTCATTCTTTCATTCACTTTTCTCTCATCTTTCATTCATCTCCCCCTCTCATTCTTTCATTCACCATTCTCTCATTCTTTAATTCATTCATCCTGCCCTACCACCCTCTCCACCTCTCGAGTACATAACTTCTGAAATCATGGTATGTGAACAAAATTAAAGATATCCAATGTTATGGTGCATTATGTCACAGAATCTCAGCTTTTAACACATGGATAATCATTCCTATTACCACTGAGGACCTTTACTCTTTGGTCAAGTTTAAAAAAAAGTGTCACTATTTTAATAATTTTGTGTAGAGAAATGCTTTTAAAAATCACTGTCACTTTCATCATGTCTTAAAAAAAAAAAAAAAACAGTTTTGGTTGTTACCAAATAATTCATCTTTTTTGTCTATAACTGCAAAGGAAGCCTTGGAACTTAGTAGTATTTCAAATCAACCATTGCATTATGACAGAAACTAAACAAAGCTGTCTTCTAATTAATTTAGGTACAGTACTGGCTATTTGCTAAAATTATTTTTTGGGAGCTCCAGATTTTTTGAAGTGCATAAATATAATTTTTTCACACATTTGAAATTACAGATGTGTGACTGTTATGGGTTCCATCCTTGAGATGAAAGCCGTAACAGTCAGCTATACCCAGGTATGTACCTACTTACTGCTAGGTGAACAGCAGTAACAGGTTCAAGGAAACATATCAGTTTCCACTAGAGCCAGGATCGAATCCTGGTCTCTCACTTGTGAGCTGAGGGCACTACCACATAAGAACATAAGAAAGAAGGAACACTGCAGAAGGCCTACTGACCCATGCAAAGCAGGTCCATGTCCCCCCCCAGATTATCCAATGACCCACCTAGTCAGGTCACTTCCACTTAACCCTTTGACTGTTTCGGTCATATATATATATATATATGTCTTACGAGCCAATGTGTCTGACGTATACACACTCATAAATTCTAGCGGCTTCAAATCAAGCAGGAGAAAGCTGGTAGGCCCACATGTGAAAGAATGGGTCTGTGTGGTCAGTGTGCACCATATAAAAAAAATCCTGCAGCACGCAGGACATAATGAGAAAAAAAAAAAAACTTTGACCGCTTTTTTTTTATTAAAATGCTGACTTTGTGGTGTATAGTGCTTATGGTTGTATTCTCGTTTTTCTTGGTCCCGTTTGATAGAATGGAAAACATATTATAGAAATAGAGGTGATTTTGATTGGTTTTACTATGAAAAGAACCTTGAAATGGAGCTCAAAGTAGGGGAAATGTTTGATTTTTGCCGATGTTCTAAAGTAAACAAATGATGTCATTGTCTAATAAATGTCCAACTAGCCACTCTAATATGCAGTCATGAATGGGTTGACATTATTTATATAATTATTACAATATTGCAGTAGTCTGCATAACAGTAAATCTTCTATTTTTTGTTTGAATAAAAATTCAAAATAGAAAGCAAGAGTAATATCAGAGAGGCCTAGAGACATGACTGATGAACAAAGAAAATGTTATTTTAGAGCCAGGATTGTCTGTATTGTTCATTCTGGACCCTATTTTGAAATTGGCATATTTTTTAATTTGCGTGAAATTGGCCAATTACAAATTTCTGACCACGTTATTGGGTAGTTGAAATCGGTAAATGGGCAGTTTCTTGTACTCAGTCGATAGAACAAATGGAGTTCTAAAGAAATAGCTATGAGTTTGGTTGACTGGAACAATGGAATTAGCTGAAAATAGGGCTCAAAGTGGGCAAAATCGCCGATTTGTAAATATCGCCAAGGTTGCTAACTCCATGAGAGTGTAATTCCATAAGTTTTCTTTACCATCAGGAAAAGATTCTCTATCATTTCCCAAGAAAATTTTTTTTTCTCAAAAATTTTTCGAGTTGGACCTGACTAGCACAATCTAGTTAGGTCCAACTCATACCCACCCATACCCACTCATATATGTATTTATCTAACCTATTTTTAAAACTACACAACGTTTTAGCCTCTATAACTGTACTTGGGAGTTTGTTCCACTCATCCACAACTCTATTACCAAACCAGTGATTTCCTATATCCTTCCTGAATCTGAATTTTTCCAACTTGAAACCATTGCTGTGAGTCCTGTCTTGGCCGGAAATTTTCAGCACGCTATTTACATCCCCTTTATTTATTCCTGTTTTCCATTTATACACCTCGATCATATCCCCCTAATTCTACGCCTTTCTCTTAAGAGAGTGCAGATTTAGGACTCTCAGCCTATCCTCATAGGGAAGATTTCTGATACATGAGATCAACTTTGTCATCCTCCTCTGTGTGTTTTCCAGTGCATTTATTTTTTTTTATTTTTTTTTTTATCACACTGGCCGATTCCCACCAAGGCAGGGTGGCCCGAAAAAGAAAAACTTTCACCATCATTCACTCCATCACTGTCTTGCCAGAAGGGTGCTTTACACTACAGTTTTTAAACTGCAACATTAACACCCCTCCTTCAGAGTGCAGGCACTGTACTTCCCATCTCCAGGACTCAAGTCCGGCCTGCCGGTTTCCCTGAACCCCTTCATAAATGTTACTTTGCTCACACTCCAACAGCACGTCAAGTATTAAAAACCATTTGTCTCCATTCACTCCTATCAAACACGCTCATGCATGCCTGCTGGAAGTCCAAGCCCCTCACACACAAAACCTCCTTTACCCCCTCCCTCCAACCTTTCCTAGGCCGACCCCTACCCCGCCTTCCTTCCACTACAGACTGATACACTCTTGAAGTCAATCTGTTTCGCTCCATTCTCTCTACATGTCCGAACCACCTCAACAACCCTTCTTCAGCCCTCTGGACAACAGTTTTGGTAATCCCGCACCTCCTCCTAACTTCCAAACTACGAATTCTCTGCATTATATTCACACCACACATTGCCCTCAGACATGACATCTCCACTGCCTCCAGCCTTCTCGCTGCAACATTAATCACCCATGCTTCACACCAATATAAGAGCATTGATAAAACTATACTCTCATACATTCCCCTCTTTGCCTCCAAGGACAAAGTTCTTTGTCTCCACAGACTCCTAAGTGCACCGCTCACCCTTTTCCCCTCATCAATTCTATGATTCACCTCATCTTTCATAGACCCATCCACTCCCAAATATCTGAATACATTTACCTCCTCCATACTCTCTCCCTCGAATCTGATATCCAATCTTTCATCACCTAATCTTTTTGTTACCCTCATAACCTTACTCTTTCCTGTATTCACTTTTAATTTTCTTCTTTTGCACACCCCACCAAATTCATCCACCAATCTCTGCAACTTATATCCATTCTTTAATACGGTGATCAGAACTGTGCAACATAACCTAAGTGAGGCCTAACCAAGGATATACAGTATAGAGTTGAAGAACAACCTGAGGACTTCTATTATTTATACTTCTTGATATGAAGCCAAGGATTTCGTTAGCTATATTGCAAACACTAATGCACTGTTGTCTTGGTTTTAGATTACTGCTAACCAGAACTCCTAAATCCTTTTTGCAATTAGTAATACAGTGGACCCCTGCTTTACGATCAGCTCCCAATGCGACCAATTATGTAAGTGTATTTATGTAAGTGCATTTGTACATGTATGTTTGGGGGTCTGAAATGGACTAATCTAATTCACAATATTCCTTATGGGAACAAATTCGTTCAGTAATGGCACCTGAACATACTTCTGGAATGAAATAATATCGTAAACCGGGGGTCCACTGTATTAAGATCTACATTATTTAGTTATATATGGCATGGTTATTTTCCTATCCAACATTTAGAACTTTGCATTTGTCTATATTAAACTGCAACTGCAGCTTCTCCGACCACTGCATCAGCCTGTTCAAATCATCCTGGAGTGCTCTTGTGTCCTCATTAGAATGAATTGGCTGGCCTATTTTGGTGCCATCAGCAAATTTGCTTATGTCGCTATTTATTCCCTCATCTATGTCGTTTATGTATATTGTGAAGAACAACAGGCCCAACACTGAACCCTGTGGAACATCGCTTGTGACGTGCCCCCATTCTGATCTCTCCCCATTTATGCAAACTTTCTGCTGCCTATTTGTCAGTCATGCCTCTACCCTGGAAAAAAATTCTCCTCCTATTCCATGTGCCTTAAGTTTCCTCAATAGCCTCTGATGTGGAACTCTATCGAAAGCCTTACTGAAGTCCATATAAGATAAGATAAGATAAGATTTCGTTCGGATTTTTAACCCCGGAGGGTTAGCCACCCAGGATAACCCAAGAAAGTCAGTGTGTCATCGAGGACTGTCTAACTTATTTCCATTGGGGTCCTTAATCTTGTCCCCCAGGATGCGACCCACACCAGTCAACTAACACCCAGGTACCTATTTGCTGCTAGGTGAACAGGACAACAGGTGTAAGGAAACGTGTCAAATGTTTCCACCCGCCAGGAATCGAACCCGGGCCCTCCGTGTGTGAAACCAGAGCTTTAGCCACCAGACCAGATCATTACCATGATCTACCTCCTCAAACACCTTAGTGAAAAAAGTTAGTAAATTCGTAAGACAGGAACACCCCTTTGTAAAACCGTGTTGAGAATCATTAATCAATTTATGCCTATCAAGATGGCTACGAACTGCTTCGGCAATTATTGATTCCATAAATTTTCCCACTATGGAGGTAAGGCTTATTGGTCTATAGTTCGAAGCTAAGGACCTGTCACCTGCCTTGTAAATAGGTATTACATTTGCCATTTTCCACTTATCAGGAACTAAGCCAGTTTGTAGTGATATGTTGAAAAGATTAGCCAAAGGTATGCTAAGTTCCTCTTTACATTCCTTTAACACCCCTGCAAATTTGTTAGGTTTTAATTTCTCTGTC